GACTTGCTTTACAGATTTCCCCTCTCTCGTTCTTAAGATATAATACTACCCCTTTGATTTCCTGAATTACATAGGGGCCTTCAAACTTTGGAGCTAGCTTTGCCGTAAAATTGTCTGGGGCACTTGATAAAGAAAATTTCCGCTTCAATACTTTATCCCCAACTTTAAAATCTGCTTCACGGCGTTTTCTATCGTAATATGTTTTCTGCCTATTTCTTGCCGTATCCGAGGTTTTAAGCGCCTGATCAATCAACTTTTGCACATCTTTTTGTTTAAACTCCTGCTCTCTTTGTTGCACAAAGAATAATTTATCTAAAGGCGTAATTAATTTTCGGCCTAAGAATAATTCTGCTGGAGTTTTTCCCGTAGTATCATGATGTGCCGTTCTTAAAGCATAAGCTAATTCATTTATGTAGCCATCCCAGCGCTTGTGATGTGTGCTCACGTAACTGCGAATTATTTTTACTATATTTTTATTAACTCTTTCTGCTATGTTAGCTTGTGGTCTATACGGAACCATTTTGATATGGCGTATGCCAAGTCCATTGCATATGTTTTCAAATATTTGACTAATGAATTTGTTTTCCGTTATCGCTAATGACTTTTATCGGTGCACCGTATTTTAAAATGTCTCTGTGTAAGAATGCATCTGCGACTGTTTTGGCTGACGCGCGTTTAAGTGGAACAATTTCTGTCCACTTTGAAAAATGATCTACTATTACTAAAAGAAAACGATTTTTATTTAACTCGCTCTGGGGGAAGGGACCAAGAAGATCTATGCCTAAAATTTCATTCGGAAATGTAGCGCGAATGCTATTTAAGTACCCGCCCGGGCTGTAATTAATATCATTAACTGACATTGATTGCAGGACCTGACATACGCCGTTACTATTTTGTATAATTGCCTGAAATATACCGCCTCGCGTACCCTTTTTATAGTCTTTCTGATCCCGAGATGGCCCGCTGTTTTTTCTTCGTGCAACTCCTTCAAAATGCTTAATCGAAGCGAGGCTGGGATGACTGGCTTATACTCAAGATTTTCGTTTGTTGTTTTCGTATAGAATAATAAATTATCTATTATTTCATAGTTTTTTGCTCTATTTCTTATCGCATCGATATCTGTGTGCTCGAAGCTTTCGGGGTCTTTCAAATAAGCATAGATATTTCCAAATTCAGGATCAGCTTTCAGTTCAGTGATAATCGTATCTCTAGAATCTAAAATTTTTGAAGTTAAATTACATTAAATGAACAGCACATTTAAGTTCATTTCCTTCATCGTCCAGTTTTATACGAGAAAGTGCGTCAGCTACCTTGTTTTCCTTACCCGGTTTATACTTTATTCTGATATTATATTCTTGGAGTTTTAAAGCCCATCTTATTAAACTGGGCGTTAGGTTTTTCCCCGAGTAAAGTCTACCAACAGCCGCATGATCCGAAAAGACTGTTACTGGCGCTTTGCCGAAATAAACTCGAAATTTGTGTACAGCCATTAATACGGCTAATGTTTCTCTTTCTGTAGCTGTATAATTCCTTTGTGTCTGATTCAATGTTTTACTAAAAATGCCAGAGGATGGTTATTTTGCATAAGAACCGCACCCACCGCATAGTCTGACGCATCTGCTGCAATTTCCAGGTTTTCGTCCCCCTCCGGGAATTTTAAAACAGGGGCATTAATAAGCGCTTCTTTTAATCTTTCAAAAGCTGTGTTAGCTTCCGCTGTCCACGTAAATTTGCCCCTTTTTCGTTTGATTACTGATTGAAGAGTGGTTCAACAATATTAGCGAAATCTTTTATGAAAGATCGATAGTAAGAACAGAACCCAAGGAAGGAAGAAAGTTTCTTGGCGGTGTTGGGCGGTGGGAAATTCTTAATAGCTTTTATTTTTGAATCTTGCGTTTCTATACCCTTTTGCGATATTTTATAACCGAGATATTTAAGTTCTTTAGTTGCGAACTTGCATTTTGAGGCGTTAATTGTAAGACCGGCCTCTTTTAATAATTTAAAAACTTGTTCGAGGTCATTAATGTGTTGTTCCAACGTACTACTCGTTATAATTATATCATCTAGATAAATTAAAGTTGACTTTCCTAGGACAGGCTTTAGAACAATGTCCATAGCTCTTTGGAATGTTGATGGGGCCCCACACAACCCAAAAGGCATGCGTAAAAAGGCATAAGTTCCCGATTTTGTTATAAACGCGGTTTTATGTATATCTTCGGGTCTCATAGCTATTTGATAGTAGCCAGACGTTAAGTCCAAAGTAGACATATATCTTGTCTATTTGATCTGTCTAATGATCTCGTCTATAACCGGCAAAGGGTAAACTGGAAATTTGGTAATACTATTTAGTTTTCTGTAATCAATAGCAAACCTCCAAGCCCTTTTATCCGAAGGAAGGAGGAAACTCGTTCTTTTTCCTACATAGTACGACTGGACTCGCGTACTCACTATTTATGGGCGTTATTATTTTATTCTTTAGCATCTCCTGAATATGTTCTTCGATGATTAAGTCTTTTTGTTTGTCATCATAACGGTATGGCTTAGTCCTGCAAGGTTTTTCGGCATTTAATTGAATCTTGTGCGTCACTATTTGGCAGCTTCCTGGTTTTTCTGAAAACAAATGAGAAAAATTACTCACCACTTGCTGTATTGCTTTACTTTCATGGTCATTCAGATGGCTAAGGTCCAATTGCGGTGTCTCCACAGGTTCCACCACCCTCTGGTCCATCTCCAACACCACGGAACTATCTTGAAAATTTAATTTGGCCCTCGCGGCCCTTAGAAAGTCCATGCCTAAAATAAGAGAATGTTGCAGATCTTTCACGACAAAAATTAATACTTTGAGACTTTCCTCTTTTACCTGTAAGTTTAATGATAATTTCCCGATGCAGTGACATGTTTTTCCTTGCGCCGCTATAATTTCCGTATTTTTGGTTTTAAATAGTCGTACCCTATAAAAATTCTTTTTGAAGAAATTTTCACTCATAAAATTTCCTTCTGCTCCTGTATCGATGAGGGCTTCTACTGGTACATCGTCAACCAGGACTTGTATAATTGGTAGCCTTGAGTTTTTTACGATGACCGTGTTTAAATGTCTATTTGAGGGTTTTTTTACAACTTCCGGGGTCTGGACCCTCCCTTTCACAGGCCCCTCTACTCGTTTAAAGCTTTCCTTTCAATCTGTGTCTTCTGGGTACGCGGATGTTTATTTTCAAATTTTCTTTTTGGGCCTTGACCTTCGAGTTTCGATGCGTTAGCTTGATAGTTCTTTCCCCCATAAGAGCGATTTCCATTTCTGGTTTCCTCATTTGAAGATTTCCTTCGGGTACTTTGGGAATATGTTTCCCCTCTCGCTTTTTCCGCTATTCTTCGATTTTGAAACTTCACCGCCAATTCGAAAAGTTCCTGCAATGTGCTTGGGTTTCTAATTTCAAAGTAGTCTTGAACAGTGGGTAACAATCTTGGTAATATATTATTTCAATAATCTCCGCATCGGGTTTCTTTCCATACAGCATATCCGTTAGCTTGATTTTTTTCGTAGAATAAAGTCCGTCAATTCTGCTGTATCTCGTTGATAGAAACTATATAGCTCGGCTTCCAGCCGTGCGCGATCTTTCACTATTGGGAAGGCCTTTACTAACGATTTTTTGAAATTTTCAAATATATTTGTCGGGCTTCCAAATTCCCCTAATAAAAATTTGCCTATGTTTTTCCACCATAGCGCGGCCTGTCCTCTTAGTGCTGATGTGGCGATGGCAACGTTTTGTCTTTCAGGCACAGGGTAGAGCTGAAAGTGGTTTTCTAGACCTTCTAGAAATACCGACACCGAATTTTTTCCGTCGAAATAGACGTTTGGCTTGATTGACGCTCTCAAAGTTTGGACCAGGTATCCAAATCCTTCTAACTGACTTGTCATTTCTTGGTGTTGTCCAGCGGCTTCCATCCAGTTTTCGGCCATTTCAGTTCGATAATTGTTCGGGCGATAATTGTTCGATAATTTATAACGTTGCGCGCCTCCAACTTGCACGCAACCAAGAGGTGACTGTGACAACTGGATAAGATACAGAATCTTGTGAAGAGTTTAAGTCCCTTTTTATTCAACGTAATAAATTACAATTGCGTGCTCTTGACGCTCACAGACTGCGCCTACTTGGCGGTCAAATAAAAATAATAACCTGAAAAGAAACTAAAGACAAGATTCTAACTACGAGGCTCTCTAAAATAACTAACTCACCGCGTTTTACAATACCGCTGCTAATTCAGCAGACTTGAAGCTCACTGGAACGATTACCACTACTTCCCGCCAAGCACATAGGCCGAAACGCGGGGTTCTTCAATTTCTCGCTAACTACCTCCGCGCTCATGAAGTAAGAATATCACACCGAACTCGTTTCCTTCTATTTAAATCAGAATACTTCCGCTGATAATTTGAATCCTTGCGCGTTCTACTAAAATTTACATATTCTGGCATTGGCAGTTCCAGGGGAAAGTAAGGCTTGACAGGAAAGATAGTTTAAACTTAAAATAAATGTTAGTTAAAATAAATATAAACCCTACAAATTAATCAAATACAAAAGCTCTAAGCCTTTAAATGAATACTCGCTTAAGTATTTGAGAAGAAATAAATAACTAATTTAATAATCTATTTAGGAAAAAAGTGTCAGCATTTTTCGAACACATTTAAAAAGCAGCTTCAGCACAAAAACGGTAGTAAATGATTTATACTCACCTTAACCTATCACATCATGAGGAATATTTTTCTATTTAGATACTTTGTCCCATGGAGACTATACAAAAACTAGATTTTATGTTTATAAAGCTCTCGAACTCAACTGTTTGTAGTTTTGTACATAAAATCTCTGTCTAATTTTTAGAATCTTTTATTAGAAAGGCATGTCGAGGTTCAATGAAGGAAATTAAATTTGTACCCATATTTTTCAAATTTCTATTCTTAAAAATAATAACGCAGACTCCGTTGCTATTTGTCCTTTTCTTTACAGAAATGTCGTGTCTAGAAAAAATCGTTATAGTACCTTCTAAGGAAGAATCGAAATTGAAAGATATAAGCAGAATTAAGAACAGGTAAATGCAATTTTTATTAATATAACCATGGATGTAATTGATATTTATATAATTAAAATTCGTATCACTAATTGGTTATAACTGTTGCCAAGTACTTACCCCTGAAATTGGTGACACTATAGATAAAAAACTGGGTGAAATTTTATAAATTTAAGGACCCATACTACATAAGTGAAAATAATCTAAAGAAATCTCTAAGAAGTTTCCAGTAAGATTAAGGACGAGTTCGTTAACTACGTTTGTGTAACTAGATTTAATTTGTTTCCATTCAAGATTTTAGAACTGCTATCAAAAATGTAACAGCTGCTCATTTTAAATAAATGTTTATGAATTATAATAGTATGAAATTAGTTTATATTTACTAGTTTATATTTACTATATTTACTTGTTTTTCAAAGTATTGTAGTAATATGATCTTATTTTTAACCACTTTGTAAAATTCTTTCGACCCAAAATAACTGTTTGGTTTGGCAGTTTTTTATTTGACCAAAATAATTTCTTCTATATATGTAGAAGATTTTAGAGAAGCTTATGTAACAGTCTGCATTTTTAAAAAGGTTTTATCTAAATAAATCATTTAAAAAAATTACGAAAATTTTTAATGTAATTTGACGAAGATTATAGTAAGACAATCACTTATGGAAGCTTGGACGTTTTATTTAATTTCTCTAGCCAGTTATTTTAAATGCTTTGTTATCTTTCTCGCTTTCTGTTTTCCTGCCAGAATGCAAATTCCTAATTCACATGTATTTAAATGAGGTAGAAAAGAGATAGAGAAGGTTTGAGAATCCAGACAGCACTTAGTGGAATGACCACTCACGTGACTGAAGTCAGCAAATCAATAACGTCTTTTCCTATTGGCTGCGCCTTGATCCCCGCACAAAATTCTCCAACTTGTCAATGATTTACTGTCACGCTCATTCATTACAACATCTTATATGTAAATGCTTATATTACTAGACATTTTGTACACAGGTTTGGGATTACACTTTTAATTCTTCTGTGGTTCATTCATTTGAGATACAAAACTGAGAAAATTTATGTAAGATTTCCCTAACCGGCCTTATCTGAATTCCTGGTAAGAGCGTGATAATGTTCGCGTTGAGCCCAGCATAACAATAAGTGTTAAAATATCAGGTAGAATCAGAACGTGTTCCGCCTGCTGTAGTCCACGTTTGCTAACGGATTCTCTTGATAGCAATATTCTGAGGCTTTGCGTCATATTCGCCATTAGTCTTGGAATGTCGACTTTGGGCAGAGCCAACTTGCACCTTTTGTGTCTGTTTAGTTTATCTGCTAAATTTAGTAACTTAGTCATAATTATAAATTCATTGTTTCTGATTTACGCCATAAATTATGGCTGTTCTGTAAGTAGGAGTAATGCATTCTGCTACCTTTTATTGAGTAAAATAAAAGGTTCTTTTACACACTTCATATGTTTTTATAATTATAAAACCTGGCGATAAATCGCTTTGGTTTTAAGAGTTTTCGTACATTTGATGCTACCAAAGAAGAAGCTGTATGCGATGAATGAAACTAGACTTCTATAACACTGAAAGACTGGATAGAAAATTAAGTTTATTACTCCTACTAATCGCGCAACATAAAATTTTTAAATCCTTTAAAATTAGAAAATTTTTGTTTGTTTTTTATAATACAATATATATATATATATATATGTCATAATAAAAGCAAAAGGAAAAGACGGAACATTGTAGATGCGTGATTAGACCCATATTGAAGAAGATTTTGATTGCGTAGTATGCTAGTAATGCTAACTTGGTAATATCTAAAGAACTTAACAGTCGAGGCAGTTTTAATTCCATTTTTATTCGCAACTGATATTTGTGGCCACAATCACTTGGCACTCTAGTTGTGCCTTTCCACAGAAGATTTACATTTTTGATATTGTTGAGACAGAAAGCAAGCCAGCGAAATTACATCTTAGCACAGTAGATAGCAAAAGCTGAAGTGCGTAGTTATGAAAGATGGAAGCACGCGAAGAGAAAAGTTTTGGTTTACAATTATTACGTCATCAGAGCTGCGCGGGCCATATATATATATATTATTAAAGAATGTATACATTCTTTAAATAAATATATTCCTTATTTTTAGTTGTTTCCTAGAAGAATTTCTGGAATCTGGAAAAGAAGTTGATGACTCTGTTGAACCTATAACTTTTGAACAAGTACCTTTTTCTCACCCTGTGTTCATTAACTACACATCGGGTACTACTGGCTTACCCAAGGCTTTAATTAATAATGGAGGGGTGAGTTAGCACATGACTAAAATTTTATTGTTGAAAATCAAATGTTAACGAAATAAAAATATTAAATTGCTGTAAACTGATTTACAACAAAATGCCAAATTGAAAAAATTTGTAATCGATTCACATAGTAATTTATTATTAGGCAGGTAGTCTTTATTTTCAAGTTAGAGTAATGTTTCCAAATAATGACTTCAATCATTGAACTTCTATTGAAGAACGAATAAACTCCAAATGGTATAAGATTGTTAATGTTATATATACCTAATATGTTTTCAGTCAAAATTGAAACGGTGTTTAGGCCTGTTAAATCTTACCAGGAATTGACTGTTAATTGCCTGGAACCCTTTGCCTGTTAAATCTTAACCAGGAAATCCAGTCTATAAAAGGGAAATTTCTAAGAATTTTTCCCCTTGAAATAATATATCCGGAAGTTAAAAAAGTCATTTGATCTTTGAAAGAAAAATTTATAATACTCGTCATTTATTTTCATAATCGAATGCAGTCGATAAATAATTGTTTACTAATTTAAATATTTTTATCAAAGTTTCTGATTAGACTAATTGGTCTTTTATGACCTGCGCTTTTAAATGATCCGAATGTGTATACATTTTAGTAGTTGCTAGAATATGCAGGGTGGCGCAGGGAAACGGGAAATTTCGAAATAACGTCATTTCCACGAATAAATTCATAAAACTATTAATTTATTAACGAAAGTGCATGTATTCAGCATGCCATTTATGTTTTTACAATCAAAATGTCCAAAAGTGTCTCTTTACTTTTTAAAGATGACATCTGAAAGATGTGCTCCCACTTGGTGTTCGTACTCTAACAACCTGTTATGAAAACTCTGGAATGCGCGGTGTAGCAAATCTTGGGGAATGGCAGTGATTTCTTTTTCAATATTCTCCTTCAGTTCATGGATTGTTGCAGGACGTGAACGGTACACCTTAGCTTTAAGATATCCCCACAGGAAGAAGTCTCACACACTAAGATCAGGGGATCTCGCAGGCCATTCAATGTCACCGTTACGTGAAATAATGCGTTGCGTCTTCCAAACAACTGACGAACTGCTGACATCGATTGTCGAGCAGTGTGTGAAGTGTCTCCGTCCTGCTGAAGATGCATGCTGTCGAACGGAGAGGCGAGGACTTCTCTCGATTGCAGCTCTAACAGCTTCAATGTCCTCTGGGGTACGTACCGTTGGAATGCCACCTGGAGGTTTCTTTTTCAAGGCAGATCCTGTTCCTTCACTCATGTTGTAATTGCATGCGCTGATGCGACACGTCCATGACGTCCAAGCTGGTAATGCTGTCGAAATATTCTCTGCGCGGCAGTCGCACTATGACCATTTTTATAAAACGCATCCAACTTTCGAATCCCGGCAAACGGGCTGCCTCCATGTATGTTTTCATGATTTTCCGCATGTGTAACGTGTATGCAGTATCTTTTGGATGCATACGCGAATAAAGCGGGCGAAGCCCGTGTAAAATCGTTGAACGCTGGTAGTTCGGACCAATTTTCGAATAAAGGCCAACGGGCTGGCTCTATGGGTGTTTTCGTGATTTTCCGCATGTGTGTCGTGTATGCAGTATATTCTGGATGCATACTGTAATAAAGCGGGCGCAGCCCGCGCAAAACCGCTGGACACTGGTAGCTCGTTCCAACTTTCGCATTCCGGCCAGCGGGCTGGGTGCATGCGTATTTTCGTGATTTTACGCATGTGTAACGTGTATGCAGTATCTTCTCGATGCATACATGAATAAAGCGGGGGACGTCCGCGCAAAACCGCTCAACACTGATAGTTCGATCCAACTTTCGAATACCTGTCCAACTTACGAATTTTGAAATCGGTCCAACTTTCGAATCCCGGCGAATGGGCTGGCTGCATGGATGTTTTCGTGAATTTTCACATGCGTGTCGTGTATGCAGTATCTTCTAAATGCATACGTGTTTAATGCGGGCGCAGCCCGCGCAAAACCGCTGAACACTGGTAGTTCGGTCGAATTTTCGAATAACTGCGAACAGGCTGGCTGCATGGGTACTTTCGTGATTTTACGCATGTGTATCATGTATGCAGTAGCTTTTGAATGCACACGTTAATAAAGCGGCCGCAGCAAAGGTAAAATCGACGTACACTGGTAGTTCGGTCCAACTTTCGAATATAGGCGAAATTCAACATGGGAATTCTTTTAAAAACGAACAATGATAAGCGGGCTTCAGCCGCTTATCATTGTTATCATTGTTCTTTATTATCTGGTGTACATTCGCATGGGTTAGTATTTTATTAGGCGGATGTTGCATAAAATTAATATAATTATGTCATATTCTCAGATGCAAATATCTTTTGGATAATTTTTAAGTATAGAATGAGGTTAGTATATAAAAATTCTTAGTAAAATAATGCGTAGTGTAACTCTTGTCCACTGTATCAAATAAAATAAACAGTTAAATTCCTATTACAAAATTAGCAGTTTTAAATGCTAAATATGTATTTACTATTTTCCTTTTCCTAGCTTGTTTTGACTATCGCCAGAGACATGTGTTTGTACGGTAAAGAAGACAGAAATCGAGTACTGCTTTCGATTTCACCGGTAATATAATTTCCATTTGTGTATTAGATATTTTATATTCCGAACAACCATTAATTTGTTTGTAAAATGTTACTAGGTTCGCTACGCATATATACTAACGATGATTGTGAAATGAGAGCTATAAATATTATCAAAGAAACAATTAAAAATAATCGAACAAATAAATAATACGTTTAAATTTTAAATGCAGAGCATTATAAATAAAAGTCATAAATAAAGAATTAGTTTACTACAATGTTACTACAAAGGAAGTACCTTGGATTACAATCTCTGAACCATGTGTGGATGGGGAAAAGATGAGGCTTGTAGATGTTCACGTGGGTGGTGAGGAATCAACGTTTGGCTCAACCTCTGACTCAAGAATACGTAAAGAGAACATTTGAGATGAAAAGGCTGTATAAGAGGTGAAAGAAGTTGGCCTTCTAGATGGGACAGCTGATACTGATGTGTTTATTAGATTATCCACTGAAGCAATTTTAATCGAATCCAGTTTTTAAGAATTCGATAAGTATCCGTAAATCGAGATTATTCCTAAATGGGAAGTATTAAAATAAACATACAAACATGCAATGAAACACAAAAATTATGTACTATCTTAGTAAGGTTTGAATGTAAGAATATTTGATAGAATTTAAAGTTACTTGATTTTTAAAATTTATTTTCATGTTATGTTTCTAAGCAGAAAATAAAAAGTCACTATTAAAGTCTGCATTCCTATTCAGATTTAATTATCTAATTTTTTAATCTATTTTTCGAAACAACTTGGTTTTGCATTCTAATTCAGAAACTTTTCGAAGTTTCCAGATCAGAATACTGTGGCAGAGCAGAATGGAGTGTAGCAGACTGAAAACGTTTCGTTTTAAGCGATGAATCCAGATCCTTATTTGACTCTGACGACGGCCTTATCTATGTGTACATACGGTCAGGTCATTACTAGATATCTCATACCTTTGTGGACTGGTGCATTTCCATCACGACTAGCATTATCTTGCTGAATGCTATTGCGTAAGATTTTTGGTCACTTATAGGCAACGTGCGCACCACCCTGCATTGCCAATGTCCTTCGCCAACATCTTGTGGCCTGTTGTAATATTCATGCTGTCAGACATGTTGGTTCTATTTTTTCATCGTAATGTCTGTCCGCGCACAGCAGTCATCCATAGGGATCAAACGCGGCTTTCCCAACATGGTAATCCTGCCATGGGCTTCCGATCGCCTAACTTTTCTCCCATTGAATACCTTTAAGACATAGTCACCAGTGGCTATTTTAACTAAATGGCCATCCAGAAGACATACACAAATTTTTTATTAAGAAAATAATAGACACTCATTCCATTATGCAATCGAATTTGGAGATACAATTGTAATGGATTGGATGTGGTTTCTAGCGCAGATAGTACATTCTAAATCTATAACATGAGTTAACTTTTACAATCATAAAGTTAACTGTCTAAAGCTAGATTAAAATTTTTACAGAAATTTGGATTTCCTAGGATAAAACTTTATGTCATCACTATATAGTTCATATATCATTTCTTTCCAGAAAATTAGAAGAAAAAGTAGTTTAGCAAGGAAATACTGTCAGTTATCATTTATACTTTAAAAGCTGCTATTTATCACTTCTTCAAAACCTTTTTAACATTTTCCTTCCTCTAAACTAAGTTTCTCACTCTTTCTCCCCAGTATAGTAATGCGTGATAGTGCGTATGAAAATGTGCCGAGGGGTATACCTAATGTTGTAAGCTTAATTTTCGATAAATCTTAGTGTTGGCTGGACAATCTAAACTTAGAAATCTTCTCTGGTTTGCCTGCAACTTTTCCCGTTAAAATCTTCTTAATGTGGTGTATGCCAAGATCTCGATACATATCCTCAAAAATTGGTCTAATGTTTTTCATTGTCTGATCTTACTTTAAGTGGAGCTCCACATTTCGATGTAAATTTCTTTAAAAATAAATCTGCAACAATATTAGCGGAAGCTGTTTTGATGGGAATTAATGCTATCCACCTTGAGAAATTATCCGTGATTACCAGAAAATAACTGTTTTTTTCCATTTTCACTAGGTGGTTCCATTTTCACATATTGTGGTGGCCAAAATTGTGAACACTTTTGGAAATTTTGGAATGTTTTTGAACTTTGTATGCTTATAGAAAATGTTACGTTTCGCAAAATGCAAACTTGTATATACCATTTTAAAGAGAATTTATTACTGAATTGAATACAAAACACAAAATTCAATTATTTGCAATACAAAAAATATATGACTTTAATATAAATAAAAACACAGTTATGAAGTGGTTTGTAATGTCTAGCTTTCCTGGCCAATCACTGTTCTTGTTCTGAGAACCAATCAAATGTTAACTGCCAGTAGAAGCTGACATCATGTTTACACTTCATTATTTTGCTTTGTTCTGTAGAAGGAAGACCTGTTTCTTATACACTGCAATTACAATAGGAATTTTTGTAAAAATTTTTAATATTTCGTCAAGAAGCAATGACATCAAATAAAAGAGTAGATTGGACACCTAGAAAGAAATGTAATATTATTGTGTTACGAGAAAGTGGTCTTTCCTATGCTGAAATTGCAAGACAGGTGGGTGGTTCAGTGACTACTACATCTGGAGTCCGAAAGTTTTGTTTACGATATCAGGAAACAAATTCAATACAAAACAAAGAAGGAAAAGGTCGAAAAAGGTGCACCACATCTATTGATGACAGAAGAATAAAACGACAATGTCTCCAAGATAGAAAAATGTCATCAGCGGCCATCAGAAGTGATCTGAATGATGCTGGTGTTCTGTCAGTTCAAGAACAATCAGGAGAAGATTAACAGATGTTGGACTGAGAGGTAGAATTCCACGAAAACAGCCTTATCTTAGTTTTCAGCAACGAAGAAAAAGACTACAGTGGGCAAAGGAACGCATTAATTGGACAGATGATCAGTGGTCACAAGTTATATGAAGTGACGAAACTAAGATATCGTTATTCGGTAGTGATGGGCGGAAATTTGTAAGACATAGAATAGGAGAAGAGCTACATCCTGACTGCATTCAAGCAACTGTGAAGATGTCAGTGTTATGATTTGGTCATGCATGTCAGCAGATGGTATTGGTCGCCTTCATGTCATCGATGGGACACTGAATGCCAGAAAATACATTGACACTATTCTAGAATCAAAACTTTTACCTTCCATCAGAGATCTCTTTCCCAACAATGCTTCGTTTATTTTTCGGCACGATTCTGCTCCTTGCCACACGGCCAAAATATCGAAAGAGTGGTTTCGTACAAAAAGCATTAAATTGTTGTCATGGCCAGGAAACAGTCCTGACCTCAATTCTATCGAAAATTTGTGGCACTCTTCGAAAACTCTTGTCCGAATGAGGCGCCCCATCAAATAAAAGGGAACTAATTCAGGCTATAATTGTTTTCTGGCATCATGTAATAACAAAAGAAGAGCTTAAAACTCTTGTCAGCTCAATGAAACATCGATGTGAAGCTGTAATCAAAAATAAAGGGTACCCTACTAAGTACTGACAACTCACTGCAATCATCACTATCTAATGTATATCGATAACTATTATCTTTTAACTTTTTTGTATTGCAAATAATTGAATTTTGTGTTTTGTATTGAATTCATTAATAAATTTTCTTTAAAATGATATATACAAGTTTGCATTTTGTGAAACGTAACGTATTCTATAAGCATACAAAGTTCAAAAACATAAAAATTTCCAAAAGTGTCCACAATTTGGGCCACCACTGTATTGGAGTAGCTGTTCCATTAGAAAAAGTAGCGTTTAAACTATTTAGGTATCCGGCACTGCTATCGTTTCCTAGCTCACAAATGTCACAAAACTTACAACAAACTGTTACAAACTGCTTTACAAAGCTTTATAGCTCTGGGAAATAAACAGCTTCCCTTTCTCTTTGCACTATTTTCCTTATTCTAAGATGACCTGTAATTGGCGCTTCATGCAATTCTTGCACTGCTATCGTTTCCTAGCTCACAAATGTCACAAAACTTGACATACTACGTTACAAAGTTTTATAGCTCTGGGAAATAAACAGCTTCCTATTTTCCTTATTCTAAGATGACCTGTAATTGGCGCTTCATGCAATTCTTATTATTCTTATTTATTGCTTTGGAGTTAAAACAAATAATTGTCAATTGTTTCGTAATTTGTAGTTTTTTCCCCCTAATATCCGTCATATTATGGTATTCAAAGTTGTTGGGATCATTCAAATACGCGTAAATATTTTTAAGTTCTAGGTCTGGTTTTAGTTTAGAGATAATTGTTTCTGGTGAATCTAAAAGTTTTAAATTTAATATTGCACATTCCCCTTCTTCCCCTTTCATCATCTAATTCAATTCTTATGCAGTATCCGCTACAATATTTTCTTTTCCGAGAGTATGTTTAAATGCTCAACCGAATTTTTGCAATTTAGAAGCCCATGGTATGAGTTCATCTAATTAATTCTTCCAGGAATACAAACGAATGACAGCGTATGGTCTTTACACACTCTAACTGGAGCTCGTCTAATATAAACTTGAAATTTCTATACCTCTAAAAGAACTGCTTACGTTTTCTTCTCGGTAGCGCACAATTTGAGTTAGATTAAGCGTTTAGATTCAAATGGCAGTCCACCTTGCTGAAGCGCAGGTACTACCGCAAAATCAGATGCGTCTGCAGAGACTTCTAATTTGCCATCTGCTTCAGGAAATTTAAACATAGGTGCTTGGATAATTGCGCTTTAAGTCTTGCAAAGGCTGTATTTGCTTCTGCCAACCAAGTGAGCTTGACCGTTTTTCTTTTTTTTTAATTCAATTGCTGTGCTATGTTAGCAAAATCTTCGATGATTGTCCTACAACAGGTTACGTCTCAAATACAATGAATGAGGCACCTACAATAAGCTCCAAAATGAGGTTAATTTCTTTGCTTTGTTAGGTGATGGATAATTTTTTTAAAAAAGCTTAAAAACGTTTTCTTCCAAAAAAAAAAAAAAAAAAAAATCCAGCGCCCACTATTCCCCCCCCGATTCAATAATGCATCTGCTGGTATGCTGTTTAATACAATTTGAACTACTGGTAGAGACAAATGTTTTATCGTCACTGTATTTAATTGAAGATTAAAGGTACTTTCGCCTCTCGAGGTTGATTCTACCCTCTGTATTTCAGCTCAAGGCGTGCTTCCTTCCGTCATAGATATATGAAAATATCTACTGAACCTCTGCTCATATCCCCCTGTGCGTGTATTCAGTGACTCTCACGTACTTTCAACTAGTTTACGCTTACTACTTTACTAGTACGCTTACTAGTTTATATTTAGATTGCAGGCGAACAGAATGTATGAAATCAAGGCAAAATTATTTAACACACAATGTTTAGCTCGTTGAATAATACCTAATAATTTATGAATAACGAATATATTAATTCTTCTATTTCAGGTTGGATGGGTTTCATGGAACATGATCGCAAGCTTACATTTCTTAGGTTACACAATCGTTTTATTTGAAGGTTATCCCTATTTTCTCACCCCAACGTCTTTATGGGATATGATAGAAGAATTAAAAATAACCAACTTAATGCTCACACCCAGTATACTTGACGATTTGGAAAAGAAAGGATACCTACCAAGTAAAAGGACGACTCATTTTTCATATTTTCCTTCAGATACTTTATTTTCATCAACTATCTTATTGAACATTATATAACTTTAAAGGTTACTAACTTATGAAATATTATATCTTATTGACTGTAGTTTACTATACAGTTATTCGGTGATTTTTATCGGAATGCTTTTCCTTCTTAATAACTGCTAGTTTATATTTCAGAATTTCAAAGTAACTTAAGACCTACGGGCCTTGTTAATTAATTGCGTAGAAATATAAAGTTATTATTATCTTAAAGATATTTATGCTTAATCAAACGGTACTATGAATTGTAGTAGTTTTTTCAGCAAGCTCGGTTACTAAATTCCATATTATTATTGTAATTGCAGCAATTTTAGTTATACTATGGGGTCTTACTAGATCTGGGAACTTTAATATGTCCAAAACCCGTAACAGACATGCAGAGAATTAACGCTATGTCTGAAAGTAACTACAAAGTCTTGGAAAGGTTAAACAAACTTTTTATTTAAACAGACTTTACAGCATAAACCTAATGTCTTGTGCTAAGAAAATCAGCCACAGCTCTTCTTGATGCAATTAAAGGAATAGTAAATTTAAATTTAAGACGTGAAATAGCAGTCAAAGTATACACAATTTAAATGCACTCTAAGCTGGTTCAATAATTCCAACCAGAGAATCAACATCAAGGATTCAGCAACAATATAACGCACAAACGAGTAATAACCAGAGCTGGTAGGGACGAAACTTATCGTGCACGAGCAAGTCAGAAACACGCTCTGCCTTAAAATTCGAAAATGTATTATGAGTTAAAAAATCCTGTATTTCTTAATAAAGATAGAGCTGGGTTAAATATAAAAACGTTCTCTTAACACATACTTCTCACTAGTAGCCGTAATCATATGGATTAGAAAAATGAACAGTGGTAGTCCACCTCATCTTCTGTTCAGAACTAACGGATTAGTAGCGAGAGGAGTTTTATATTTTCCCTATAATGTGTATATATTACGGTTTTCCTTAAAACATTCTCTATGAAAGCATCCTTCCTGAAGCAAGTAGTTCTCGAGCGTGTTCTCGGTTGATTAATCAAGCAAAACGTTGCCCATTTCATGCTTGTCATCAATGGTTAGTTTCAAATAATTTTTCGTGATGTAAAAAAATAAACTAAAAGTGTATAAAAAATTAATTGTTAGCTTTTGTAGCGTAATAGATATGCTTTGTGAAATCTAGAAGATATCTGCTTTAGGTCCCTTTTTTTTAAGGAGCAAATACATTCTATGGCAGATATGCTGTATGCTAAAGAAAATCCAAATACTTACTATTAAAGAGCAGTCTGTATCCGTTACGGGTATTTTACATACCTTAGCTATGAACATCAATAAATAAAAATGATAACGTACGAAATATATTCAAACCGCCATGAACTGTTGAAATATGAAGTCATTGTGCGTGTATCTTTACATGCACGGAAAAGATTCTGAAATTTACAAAATTGTTGCTTCGTTAAACTCCAGACATTTAAGGCATGAGTGAAATGTCAACGACATCTCTGGAAATTTTCCTGTTAGAAAATTTGTTTACGGAATTTCCCATAACTTAACGATATCTGATTACACCTATAACAGAACCAAAAGCTCTCTCTCTCTCTTATCTCGTCGAAGAAAGGTTGTCTCTGACTGTTCCTCTGATTATCTGCCAGTGCATAGTATTTTGTGAGCTTTGCAATCTTTCGCATATCAAGTCTTTCTCTAAATTTCAATCATTTCAAAATCCTGTAGGGATTTTAGAGCGTTGAACAGCACTTGAATTTTTGAAAAAAGGCGTTTACGCTTCCTCCCTTTCTTTAATAAGTTAATGATTTCTGTGCATAAATAGGTCCACCAGCGGTTACGACAAAGCCGCTGAGCACTGGTTCGATTCCAGGCCGTTCAGACCATTTTTGTGGTTCTCCCCATGTGTAACGTGTATACGAACCAGTTTGTATTAGAAAGTCCTCCACGAAGGCATCATTCCCCTTAGACCGATAGGCCTATTGTGCTTTGCCGTAATTTCAATAAGCTAACCGAACTGTGCATAAATGAAACCATTGTTTTGCAGTTCAAACAATCAGCTGTACTAATGACTGAATTTATATTGTTGCGTTTTTCTTTTCTGACACTAGTTGTTACGTTATTTTCTTCCTTCACGTTTGTACGGTGTTCGCACGGATTTGGAGTGAATAACGACGACACTACTTGATGCAGTATCGAAACACACTTTATTTACCAATATTAATCAGGACAGCTCCAAAACACTTTTACAGTCGTCGAAGATCTTACAATAAACACGCTGGAAACAATCAGCGACAAGCCTTCAGCACTGTCAGGCTATCACGGTGGAAGACAGCTTCACGGCAAAGTACCAGAGTACAGCTCCCCGACTCTGCTTCGGTCATTCTCGGAACTCCACATACTCTCGAGACTCTCCACGCTAGAACACGTGATGCACTCGACGACACACAGAGCACAGACTCCCCACTCTTCAGTTCAGTCGTTCCCGGAGCTTAATACACTCTTTCGAAGATGCACTAACCGCGATGCACTAAGAGACTCTTCGATACACTCGACGACACACTCGGCACTCGCTGTCCGGCTGTCAACTCGATCGACTCCGCACGGACTCACTAGATGAGACACACTATGTCGCACTCTAGACGAGGCACACACTCTATCAGCTCACTAGACGAGGCACACACTCTCGCGCTCTCGACGAAGCACACACACTAACTGACTGCGGACCAGCAGGGTTTATACAGCTTTCGGCTTGTGTTCGAGAACATTCTGGGCTAAACTGGTAAGAATTCGTTCCAGAAGGTTCTCCATCCGTCCATGGTATATCGCCAATTTTGTCGCCAAATGGGCGATTTCTCGCCAAATGTGGCAACCCTAAAACTGCTTTGCGGGAAAGCCATCTTACCGCGGCTGTACATTTCGTAACAATTTATTTCTTCTGTTTCCTATACTAAGTATCTAACTTACGTCTCATTCCCTCTTTTGGGTTTTTGATTCGTTTCTACTGGGTTAATTTTATTACATCTCAATGCACGAAATTCCTGGCTAAGAACGCTGACAATTCTATGGCAATTTTTATTCTTTAGGTTATAGATATGAGTGGGAGTTTTTTCTCTTTCTTACACGTTTCTCTTTCGTTACGTTCGTTTGTCTTCTGTGCATCCCTTATAGCTAACCTGAATATCCTGATTCAAAGAAAGCAGCCTTTTCATGAGCGTTTAATACAGAAAACCATTTGCATTCCTATTTACGTTTCACACATAATTTCGAAGTTTGAGCAAGTGTCTTTGGCGTGACAGCAGTTCTGGCAGTTTATAATCTGGTTTGTTCTATTTCTCCATTTGAATATAAGGTTTTCAAAAAGAAGAACTTAAATTTAAGTAATTAATGCTCTGCTTTATTATAAGACAGTAAGTTTATTTTTTCGAAATAATTGGAAAGTGTTCAAGTTTAACTTGGACGAATAACCTTAGCAAGCGAAGAATCTTTGCCTTCGCCTTCGACGAGCCAATTCATATGAAGACAGCAATCGTGCAGTAAAAAGGTGCCGTTTTTGTATGGTACGGAAACTTTATATTTTTGTAACGTGCAATCAGCTTTACACTTTAATGATTAGACTTAGCAATCTTTACTGCAAAATATATCATTTGTTGCCTCTGTTACAGTCACATCAGACATCTCCCAGCTTAATATGGATAGAAATAGTAAAATATTGCTTTGTGTAGGGCAACCAACATAACTCATGTCGAAACTCACTAATTATACGGTAATTTCCAAGTTTATTTTCCACTATAAATTGATAGAGTGGTTTAAATACGTTTTCTAATAAAACTACTTAAAAATCGAATAAATAAATTACAAAAATTATTCATCTTTTTCGAAGATTTGTTATTTCTACAAGAAAGTGGATTTCCTTGATGTTTTTAAATTATGTAACACTTTTCCAAAACCCTTTCGGATAGCTTCAAAAAACTACATGAGGCACACCAGGGGCCGAGCGGTAAAGTCGCTGAACACTGGTAGTTCGGTCCGAGGTTCGAATCCCGCAAAAGGGTTGGCTGCATGGGCGTTTTCGTGGTTCCCCCATGCGTAACGTGTATATGAGCCAGTTTCCCTTAGAAAGTCCTCCACGAAGGCATCCCTCTCCTTAGGCAGATAACCCGGGGAGGCTTTGCCATAATTACACACACTCAAAAAACTATATGTGAAATCTTTCGAATCGTTTCTTTAAAAAAAATTATAAATTGCATTATTTTAATAAAATGGATGTTTCTACTACTTCTACTACTACTACACCATTAACTAACTCTTCATTAGACTTTTATTGTAGAAATTTCCATGTGGAAGAAATATTAATATGTATTAATTGTGATATGTTAATTGTTAATACGTGTAGATACTTGCAAACCGCTCAAATGAACAATCATTTTGAAACAGAGGCGTCCCATAAAGTGTAACCATTGCATAAAAAATGAAATTCTTATTTTAGTGTAATTTGCTGTTAGTGTAGTCAAAATATAATACAATGTCAGTAAAATTTATTTAATAGAAAATGACTTTCTTAATATTTTTACACAGGCTTAATGTTTTTTGTTTACATTTTAACATTCAGATTAATTTATTAATAATTCAGTTCTTGTACACTTGATAGCGAAAAAGCATAGTTTGGATTCGTTGCAGACAATTGCCAGTGGTGGAAGTGTTGTGAGGCCACAAAACTTTGACTTCGTTTACAACAAAATAAAAAAGGATGTAGTTTTTGCTGCAGTATATGGTGAGTAATAATTTTAAGAAACAATAAATTTTTAATAACTTAATTTTAATAAGATTGCAATATTTCATTGGGATCCGAATGCCCCGAGAAAAGTACAATAACATTTGAAAATAAAAGAAACTAAAAGCACAAAAAGTTACAAAATAATAATTTGGCAGAGACTTGCAGACAATATTTATATTAATAACAAGATAAAAGTATTAGAATAAATTAAGAATTTATAAAGTAAAGCTAAAATTCTGGCTGTATATGACAAATAAAGGATAAAGTTTAAATACATAAAATACATGAGCACCCCTTTACTAGACATTGGGAATATAGTTAAAATAAATATTGTTGCCGTTCAAGTGGGCTAGTGGTTAACGACGCTGACTGCCGTACCAAGGAAACAGGGTTCGAATCCCGGAGAAGTTTTCGTTTCGGAGAATTTCGAATCCGTGATATTTGTAAATGTATAGTGTCTGCGCGGCAGGGAGCCATTGTAAATATGCAGCGAGCCAAAAGTCTCTCTCTCGAGAGGTAGCTGGCAGAGAAAGAGATATAGGGGATCTTCGGAGTCGTTCCCCGGGGTGCTCTTTCTCAAAACTGGGGGGTGGAACTGTGCTAAAGGCAGGCTACTAGCTATATCGTACTCAAGGCTCTTGCCAACAACAGGCGCATTTGACTCTTTGCCACGATGAATGTCGTGGGCCTTGTGCTGACCTTTGTGAGAAAAGTGAGATTGGTAACAACCATAAAATATTCCCTTTTGTATTTACTGTTTAATATTGTATAGCTCCGCAAATCCACAAAAACTCAAAAGCTGGAAAGAATTTCTTGGTTCTAGATATATATTTTCCGTTATTTTTCTGAGAAAATCTCTTTTCTCTGATATGTTTTTTTATCACAGTTTAAGCTCATAGTTCTGATAAAACCGTAATTTCAAAACAAAAAGTTTTGATTAATCATAAGTACCTGAAAAAGAGTTATTGAATTCAAAATTATATTTAGGAACTGATGAAAAATTAAACAGCATCCGAGTATGAAAATGAGCAAAGTGGAACGAGAAATTTCCATAATCAGAACAATAAATTTTTTTTTCAAATATGTAACATTAATAAGTAAACTCTACTTACTGGTTACAATTGCAGCAATACAGCATATGTTTCATTAAAAATACAATGAAATATTTCATGGAAACCACCTCTAAAAGTGGGCAGTTTTTTGTGAAAGCATAACATAGTTTTGGACTGAATATCTATAGCCATATTCTCGTCAGTGATCGCCTTCTCAGGGTGTCAACCGAAAACCGCAGTGGCTAATCGCACCGACGATGCGAATAGCTAAGAGGCTATTCACACCACCTGCGTTCGCGCATGCGCACTATCAGCCCACGTACCAGCATTTCACACCGATTTCCGTAAGGCAAGCGGTAGCAAGAGCGAAGGTTGTTAAACCTAACTCAGGAATAGAAGGGGTTGTTAATAGTTCACCAGAGAATAATTTACAAGTAATAATTATCAGTTACAAACATGTGGTCAATCTATATACATGATAATGCTCAGGAAATGATTAGATAAAATAGGGATTTAATGATAGTTCTAATTGCAAGAGAGGACGTGTAATTAGTTAAAAAATCTTTAATGTATTAACAAAAAGGTTACAGAAATTACTTAAATTCTTTTATTTAACAGAGGAATTTTTATACAAACTTAGACCCTATTCTTATAGCATAGGACTGTCAGAATCTATTATTCAATAAGAAAACTTTCTGAAAATTATAATATTCTTATCGTCACTTTTTCAGTATCCACACATGTTTATAGGTTCAAATGAAATATTTCGAAATCAAAGTTATTTATGAAATAAAACCTTATAAAATCTGATAAATCATTTGTGTCAGCAAATTTTTAAATTTAAATCTCTTACATTAAATTATTTCTGTCTTTGAAATTACATCCCATTATTCATTTCAATTTAATTTATTAATGTGTTTGTACTAATATTTTAAAGTTCTTTGAAATACTTTTTGTGTCCTGAAAATGCCAAATATTTCCATAAAAAATAAACAGGCATACAGAATTGTTAATAACCAGTATTATATGATTAATTGTTCATTAAATAGCTGATTTAATCTCTTTTAACTTATTTCATGTCTAAATTTACTACAAAAAACTCCTCTGTCTAATTTTTATTATCTTTTCTTGGACGAAAATTTTCAAAGAGGTATGAACTAAAGTCTTGATTGCGCAAAACACATCTTTGAAGCTAAATGTATTCTAAGAAGTACAAAAAATGTAAACAAGATTTTGTCTCCCCTCCAAATCAGTCATTTAAACTATTCCGACCGTCAGGAAAACGATAAACATTGCGAACATAAAAATCTACCCCTTTTTATATATACTTTAATAAAAGGAAATGTGTTCCTTCTTTTTATAAGAAAAGGAACACATTTTCCTTTCTAAACTTTTGAAACTTTTGAAAGTTTCAAAAAGTTTGAAAGTTGGAAAGTTGGAACTTTTGAAAGTTGCCAACGCTTAAAAAATGATAAACTACGCCAAGGTAGTAACCCACCTTTAAAAAAAAGGATTCACTATAACACTTAGGCAATTCGCGTACTGTCTGTGTACTAGAAGAACAACCCCACCGCAGTGTCTGGCGGATGGCGGTCCCTATAGCAACAGGGCTAGTCTATTTCAAATAGGGACAAACCAAGGGTTGCTTTATTGTTATTTCGTTTTGGCGACTGTTGGCTGAGGGAAAAAAAGACTTCAAGACACCCCTACGGAAAATGGGTCAAGTCTCGTTTCTACGGCAACAGACAACTGCAGACTAACTGGTGAGAGCTTTACTTGTAATAGACAGACAGTACGTAGAATCCGTTCTTTTCAATTGGGTTCAAATGACGGTTCTGACAACTCAATGCGCATGCGTGGTCAATGTCGGTGCGAATAGATTAAGCGGTTAATCGCACCGCTGGTGCGAATAGCATCGGCCGCTGAAAACATCGTGGACGAAAACGTGGCGGAGGAAACAACGCAAAGCTTCGTCCTACAAAACATCGTAAGATAAAACAATGCAAGGAGAAAACACCGGAGTTCTAAAACATTGCGATACAAAACATCGTCATCGAAAATAAAGCAGCCAATATCTTCGCTCTTTAAAAACATCGTCCTTGGAAATATCGCGGTAAAAAATAAAGCACCTACGAATCATCGAGACAAGAACATCACAGACATGCGTTTTTCAGGATTTAAAAGTTATAAATACATATTCGCTTAATGATTTGGGAGATGAAAAAGGCATGATAAATATGTACTTTTATATTTCATATTTTTGAATTGACTATAAATTTGTTGCTTGAAAAATAAGATTGATATCAAAAACTAAAAATGAGTTAAAGATAACGCTAGGCATAGCAGTTAACAGAATTTGAAACTAATATATTAAACTAATAAATGTCATTAATTAAAAAATCTCTTTTATTACGTTTCATTGGTATTTTTCATGCGAAATATAGTCTAATAAATATTAGAAAAAGTATGATGAATAACTGTATGCGGTTACCTCTATTAGAATTATTTAATTAATTTCAAATAATAAAATACTGTCAACTGCTATAATTAGCATTTGTTTTCTAGTCATTTTCAGTTTCAATGCTTACGTTTCCTGCTTAATTTTGCAAAAACATTTATTAGTTGATTCAAAAATATAAAATTAAAAATATTCTTCATTCCTTCTTCATCTCACAAACCATTATGCAACTACGCATTTACAACTTTTAAAGCCTGAAAACACATTTTTACGATGTTATCGGCATGCGATGATTTGTAGGTGCTTACCATGATATTTTCGACGACGATGCTTTTAAACTGCGAAGTTTTCTATTAGCTTTATTTCCGACAACGATATTTTGTACTAAGATGTTTTAGAATTGCAATGTTTTCTCCTTACTTTGTTCTCTTTTGCGAGAGCCCACCAGCGACCGAGCGGTAAAGTCGCTTGAACACTGGTAGTTCGGTCCGAGGTTCGAATCCCGGGAACGGACTGGCTGCATGGGCGTTTTCGTGGTTTTCCCCATGTGTAACGTGTATACGAGCCAGTTTCCCTTATAAAGTCCTCCACGAAGGCATCTCTCCCATTAGGCAGATAGCCCTCGAGGCTTTACCGTAATTAAATAACCTAACCTAACCTAACCTCTCTTGCGATTTTATCTTTCAAAAATAGGTGCGTATTCAAGACATGATTTTACACTTACATTTCAGCAACCTGCAAGCAATGTTAAAGCCTCTTGTTTGCATATATGCATTTCTTTGTGTAAAATGTGTATTATAATCATGTAAACATTAGAGGTGTTGGTGTATTTAATTATGGCAAAGCACACTAGGGCTATCTGCCTAAGGGGAGGGATGCCTTTCGTGGAGGACTTTCTAAGGGAAACTGGCTCGTATACACGTTACACATGGGGAAAACCACGAAAACGCCCATGTAGCCAGCCCTTTCGCGGGATTCGAACCTCGGACCGAACTTTACCGCTCGGCCGCTGGTGGACCCTCAAACGTAAGTATTGAACTGATAGAAGAAATATGATTTTTTGTGATCCTATATTCTGCAGCATGTTCTGTGATATATTTTAAGGTATTTGATGGCACTTCCTGAACATATGAAATAACTTGCAAAAATAGTTATATTTATAAATGTATCATTCTCTTATATTTGTATTTTCTGCTTTATGGAATTAGTATTATGCCAAAAATTTAATTCACTTGTAATTAAGACTTCTAAAAATTACAAAAGCCTATTTTCTGTTACATAACAAAAATATGACTTGAAGATAATTGCCTAAATCTATAGAAATTTTTAATTTAAGATTAATGTTATATATAGTAAAGATTTATAATTAATTAATTTTATAATAAATCCTTTTCATTGTATTTTAATAGCATAAAATACTTAAAGGTAGGCTGATTCAGATTTGATAGTGAATAAAATGTTTACTTTCAGCCTGTACAGAGTTAATGGGAGCTGCCATGGGATATGATTACTCTTTACCTATTTATAAAGCAGAAATTGCAACTCCTTCTTTGGGTGTAGCTATCGAATGCGTAAACGAAAAAGGTATTTTTTATATAATTTACGTGTTTTATATATCAAGAATATAATAAGTACATAAAACATCAATTCGTAAAAATTAATATTATGAAAGTTTACTCCTAAATCAACATTTTTCAAAGCTGAAATTTCGAAAATGGTAGTACATATTTCAACATTGTGAAAACACGTCCATATGTTTACTAAATTTAGTATTATTTGTCAAATTTTAGTATCAATATCTCTGATCACAATCTGTTATATATTTTAATACAGGTTTTATGAGTATAATAGTTTTAGAATTAATACTACTTTTCTTTTAATTTCTTTTAATGCACAGTTTGCTGCTTATTGTATTTAAATAAAGCTGTGGTTTATACCACTTTAAAATTAATTCTGAAGGCTGGATCAAAAGGTATTGAGTATGTTGCTGGAAAACCTGGTTTAGTGCAATGATTAAAAGAGTGTTCTATCAATAAAATTAGAAAATAGTGACAAAATCCATAAACGATTGAATAGCCAGTTTCCATTAGCGCAAATAAAATGTAACCTAGAATAGTAATATGCAAAATTTCCGAATATACAGTCATGAACTTTATTGTTAAAAATTTGTTTGTTAATCTTAATTCTGCTAAAATCATATCGATATTCAAACTCCTCATTACGAGTTTCCATGTGTCATTTCGACAGCATGTGTTTAAGAGCTAAGTGTGATTCATTCCATCTCTCTCTATGCTGCTGAAAAATGGGCATTTTTGTAGGTTGATACATTTACGTATGCTGTCTGTCCCTTTTTGAGCAAATTTAGTCATTAGTTTTACTTAAATTTTTGTCCAATCTAGCAACGTTTTAATGAAGTTTTTTCAAAGTTTTGAATTCTTCCTTAAATCTCTGGAAATTTACGCACCTTACTTTCTCGTAATAGCCTTTTTTAGATCTATTCATGGAAAATATTTGCTTAGCAAACATTTCTTTAATTACGAACAAATAAATAACAGAAAAAAAATATAGAATTTTTCTTTTATCTTGAAGCATATTTCTCTGTTTGTCTGTGAAGTCCCGAAAGTTTGCTTTGAGTATCACACAGAACAATTTCAGTGATCTCAATTTTTAGTAATTGCTAAGGAGTACTTACATTTATGAATTATGAATCCATTATTCTTATCTTTCGAAAGTCTTCCTCCACACTTAAAATAATGTACTCGTTTTCTCTCTATATAAACATTTTATATCTGTCCTCTATCGACAGATGAGGGACATGTGACTTGATTATTTTCAAAAATGAGTTTGTAAGGTTATTTTATTAACTAACCAGTTATTATGATTTCGGTCTTTGCTAAAAATTCTCCTCTCCGTATTTCTCACCAGAATACAAAGTAGTTAGTTGTGCGTATTTAAACTGAGATTTTTTTATCTTAAAACAGAGATTTGGTTCTGGAATTTTCATACTACGTGGCTACTTTCTTGCTGGCTCTAACATTTGCAGTTATTCAGTTTTGGGTTCTCTCGCCGCCAATACTTTAAATCTGATTCGCTGGTAGTTTATTAAGCATGCTTCTAGTTTAGCATTAAATTGGGTAGTCTTTGACTACTGTTCAACGCTTAATTTAAATTTACTATACTATTTTCCAAGTTCTGCTTAAATAAAAAATTTGCTATAACCTTAATAAGACGTCATTCAAACAGATGTTATACCTGAGGTACACGTGAGTAAAACGTGCCTACAAGAGTGTTGATAGCATTAACTAAAAAGCATTCTTAACTGAGATAGACACATACAAATTTAATAAGGAAAAGACTCAGTTGGATACATTATAATGGCTTAAGGAAGACAGATCGCGGCCTCATCACAGAGCCCAGTCCAGTCCATGTCTTTATTGCCGGTCTGTCTCTAGTACATGACACTTTACCGGCTCCTGATAAGTATGCCGTGGTGGCACCTTGAGAGTTTAAAGTCCCTGACCGGTGAGATTGGAGGCATTGAAGTCTGGGGGGGGGGTAAGAGAGGGAAACCATGTGTCGCTGAAGTGGAAAACCAGACAATTTGGCTATGGAGACGGGCTGATTGAAAGCAAAATAAATTCTTGCAGAATAATTCCTGAAAGATAAGATGAAAAACATAAATACATAATTGCAAAGATATATACAAATTTAAAACATAAATGCAATACAATATGGAAAAAAAAATGGAAAGATCTGGGTTAAATAATAATTCTGGAATAAATACATAATAAACAAGATAAAAATATGATGAATAATATAATACATAAATGCATAAATTATAATACAATATTTACATTAGGTCGGAAAAAGTGTACCACAGAGGTGGACCTCCCAGGGTCTAAGATCTCTATCTTCTTGCAGTATGCTGTAGTTGAAAACTTGAAAATTAGTCGTGTAATTGCATTTCAGGGCTTTTTGAAAGAATTTCTCGTTGTTTTTGTGGAGGTAATCTTTGATAAAATCGATTTTGAGGTCCCTGTGCAGCATTAGAGACATAAAAATGTACATTTCTGATGACCCGCAGGTATTTGTTTTGGATGATTTGAAGTTTTTTGATATCCACGTCTTTGATGGTGGCCCAAGCAGGGGAAGCATAGCAGAGTATTGGTCTCATAATAGCATTATAAATGTGAAGTTTTCTTCTGAGGTCGAGATTGGAATAATTGCCTATGAGAGGCATGAGCTGTTTTAAATTGCCATATGCTCTATTGCGGCAGATGTTGATATGATCAGTCCATGTTAATCTGCTGTTAATAGTCTGAACACAGACACAGGTGCCGAGGTTTATATATCACGTTGAATGGACAAGATTGATGTGTAAATAACACAGACAGCCGGAGAAAAACTCGTCTTTCCCCTGTCAGCCCGTAAGGTTGCCATACAGGTTTACTGTATTTCGCCAAATGGCAGTTTTTGAGTCTAGAGTTTTTGAGTTTGTATCGCCTATTTGGCCCTGCCGCTGCATAACCTTATTAAGATTTCATTGTCTTTCATCTCAGATATGCCATCACGTCTGTTAGGGTATTGGACTAAAGTAGTATTACTGATCATGCGTAACTTTAGTGTAACTCAATTTTGCCTTGTGTTGAATGATCTTGACTTTGTTGAGTCCATTTCAGATCGAATTGAATGTTACGAAAACTATGCTGCGGCTGGAAAATCGTTCATTCAGGAAGTTACGCACCTTGAAAATAAAAATGAGGTGGAGCCCCGTCTTACTATTCTCGCACACTGACCACGAATCCCTTCTCTTGCAGCTCAGAAATGAACTACGTTTGCAATATATGTAAATAAGAAAGTGCATTCTCCTATTCAGGCTAAAATAAGGTCCGAAATAGAAAACAGGGCTGCCAAGTCCACAACAATACTACACTAATTTAACCCTGACATTTTCCTCTGTGATATTCAAACTTGGGGTACGGGGACTTCTCAGACATTTTGTAGAAGTCTGTACTTCTGATGCAGAAGTTTTCTACACACGCACAATAAAAACTTAGAATTAAAAAAAATAACCATTTTTACTGCGTTTTACTAGAAAAAATATATGACAAGCAAGCAAAGATTTGGCCAGCAAAATGATATATTGTTTGCCCAAAGAGTGAATATCTTCCAAAATTATTTTACTATCACTAGCTCTCAAATCAGCTCGAAATCGAAAGCATGGTGCTTCTGGTTTACACTTGAGTTTCGTAAATAAGTTCAAAAAATTCAGGTGATATATATATATATATGCAAATATTTTCTCTTTAAAATCATTTATTTCAAATAAATCATTGCCATTTTTTAAATTTCATTCATTTCTTTTCTTTAGGTCAACCCGTAGTAGGGGAGCCTGGTAAACTGGTATTAGCAAAACCACTGCCTTCCTTGGCAATGGGTTTGTGGGGAGATGATGATGGAACAGTATTTAAGAAATCATATTTCTCAGAATTCCCAGGTAGCATCACTGTAATCTCTGATGTTATGTAGCTTTATCCTCAAAATTTGATAAAAATATTTCTTCTTGCAATATTCGCGACTGGAGATATGAAAAAAAACAGAAGATTTGTAATTATTCTTACCATTAGAATGCGAAATATTGCGCTTAAAATATACTGAGCATCTTTTGAATGTCCAGGCGTTTTCGAGATAGCCAAAAATACTCATTTACAATTAAAGTACACTGCGAAAAAAAAAAAAAAAAAAAAAAAAAAAAAAAAAAAAAAAGAGGGACCATTTTTTGTTTTACTGGGACTATTGACGAAATTCATATTACGTTTTTCATGTCTCGAAATCGCAGCTTAGGATATATATATATTACATTTGAATATGCATTGTTCTAATGCAGGCATTTTGACAAAAAACCTTTTTCTGAAATCACGTGCCAAATGTTTTCTATATTTCGATTCTACGACTCAAATTATGCCTAAATATTAAATTTTTTAAAAATTTGGTGCGAAATTCAAAAATTTCTCTTATCGCATTTTTGCAGTTGCGCAAAGAGTAGGTTACATGGCGAACTTCTTAATTTAGATCAACCTATTTTCCTTTCCTTTTTTTCATTGTACACAAACGCAAAAAAGGTCACTTCATACTTTCCAAGAATTTTAACAAAATCCATAAACCACATTTGGCATTATTTCCGCTCAAAAGAAAAAATGTTAATTATTTTAAAACGCGTCAATATGTAAATTCATATATATCTTAGAAACGTTTGAGGTAAAAAAAAACTTAAATTTTTTTGCAGGTGTGCCTAGAAATACATCTACTGTAACGTGATGTTAAAACTTACATAGGTTATAATATGAAAATCGTTTCGAAGAATTTATAAAAAATATTTAAATATACAAATTTTAGAAAATGAATCATAAAAAATGTGCGAATTATACTCGGATTAAGCTTAAATTTCGAATTCTGGAAGAAGGAATCAAGTAAGTTTAATAAAAAGAGGTATTAATAAATATATATCAAAGTCAATGAACATTGAGGAGCTAAAATTCTGAAAGCTGATTTGTTAAAAATTATTCGTGCGATTTTGACAAAACTGTTTGGCATAATAAACTGTTTGACAATGATCAGCATGAACAAAACTATTTAAACAATGGGAACAATTTAAAAATTGATTCGCCATTTGTAGTGTAACGCTATACAATGCCGTTTTGAGACTAATAGCTTTTCTGGGCTACCGCAAATTCATTGTACATTTAAAAACTTAATTAAATTCCATAAAAATCAGAAAATAAAGCAAATGAAATTAAGTGAATGTTATAAATATTGTTATTAAGTCTTACATGTAACGTTCTTTCTTTTAAAAATCTTTAAATGAAATTTGTATAATAGCATGCAATACGTATTCTAAATCATAAATATTTGTTCTTAGGGAGTTGGAAAAAATATAATAAGGAAAACGTACCAACTGCAATTTCGCAAACGTTTTTAACGACTGCGAATGTTTAACTTTTTAATCTGCAGTCTTATTCTTCTTTAAGAATTCAAAATATCGTTGCTTGAAATCATAAGCGAAATGAATAACAAAATTTGCTTTGATAAATTATTTAAGCATTTCAAAAATATGTCCTTTCTAAAATACATTTGCTATAGAAATAAAAAAAATTAACACAGTACTCTTAATATGCTGTAAATGTTCTTGTTAAAAATAAAGATCCCTATATATCGGTGATATTTATAAAATATCCATTTGTAATTAAGTTTTGATCGCTACTGAGCGCTTTCTCTTATATAGAAGTTTAATGCCGTTTATATATTCTAAAATAAGATAACATCTTTTATCATTTACAGGAAAGTTCTCAATAGGAGATTCGGCTATTATCAATCCAGTAACGAAAGGATACATTGTTTGCGGAAGAAGGTAAGCTGAACTGCCTTATAATGAAATTTATCTCCTGTAATTATTATTTTTTACGCATTCCGTCCTAAGGCAGTACACGGAAAGGAGAGATGCCTTCATGGATGACTTTCTAAGTGAAACTTTCTCGCATTAACGTGTTACACATAGGGCAAAACTACAAAAACGATCATGCATCTAACTCGTTAGCGGCATTCGAACTTCGAACTGTCTACGTTCACAGACCTCACCGCTTTATCCCCCGCGGAGGTCTTTTTAAGGGAAACTGGTTCATATCCACGTTACACCATGGGGAAAACCAACGAAAACGCCCCTGCAGCCACTAGTTCTCCGGGACTCGAACCCCAGAGCGAACTACCAGTGTTCAGCGGCTTTTACCGCTCGGCCGCTGGTATTCCTTATCTCCTGTAATTAGGATTGTTTTTCGTAAATAGAGACTGCAGCTCCAATCTATTCTGCAAACGACTCAAATTCAAAATATTTCGAAAATTTTAAATTATTTCGCTTGTTTTAAAATGAAATTTTTTTAATGTATTCTTCAAAAAGTTTTAAAAAGTTAAAAAAATTAGAAAATATACGTAGAGGTATTTAAGATATTTATTAAACGTTTTTAATATTTTAAACTTACTATATTCCGATTATCAGTTGTTTCTACACGATTCTCCAGTTTGAAGAAAATATAGGCTCTTTTACATCTAAACTTTCTGCCCTTTGATTAAAATCACCATAGCTCTTTTCTCGTAATGGAAAAAAAAAAAAAAAAAAAAAAACTGATAATTCAGTATTGTTCTTACCAATTTTGTGGCGGGCAGAATATAGCGAAGTGATGAGTGAGGGGTAAATTTTCAAAACTTTCCATGAACATTTATGAACTCAGAAATACTAATAGATAGTTTAATATGCAGCTAACTATACATATTTTGAATTTCTACTTGCATTTTATAACCGCCTAAATGTCGTCAAACGCTTTTATATGAGATCAAAATACAAGCGCATGAATCACCAGTGGCCAAATTAAAAAATCACTGAATTTAGGCAGTTTGATCTGGTTTCACATTCTGACGAACGGGATGGATGCATGGAAGTTTTTGTCATTTTCTTCATATGTAATATGAATACGAGTCAGTACCTCTTAAACAGGCTTCCATACAGACATCTCGTCACTAAGGCAAAAAGCTGTCATATGCTTGGTCGTAACAAGTGTCGTGAACATTCAGTAATACATTCCAATCTATGAAAATGTATAATATATAATAATTATCTTTATAAAAAGTTTATAATGGATATGAAGTGGTACAAACAATATTTTATTGTTGAATTCCTGACAAAAATGTATGCAGCCTGTCCGGCATCTACAGAAGATTATAGGATGTTTACAGGGACATTGCCATTGACAAGAGCATTGTGATTGTGCACACGAATTAATTGACAAGTGACACACTTAATCTATTAACAAAAGAAAACACATTTTAAGCTGATATTTCATTTTTAGTAATGTACAACTACAATCATTTCGCTTTTCCGTTTTTGTATGTTTTTTGAACATGTATTAGGATTTAAAATTAAATACCTCGGTCGGTTTCATAGTACAGGAGTCAAACGTTTTCTGCTTTAGTTTTATTAGTATCATTATTTTATTTATTCTTTTATTTATGCTATTTATATGTCTATATTAATAACTAGCATCTTCGCTGCCAGCCTTCGTCTGGCTTTTAAATGTATGAAGTTGGTGTATTTAATTATGGCAAAGCACACGAGGGCTATCTGCCTAAAGGGAGGGATGCCTTTCGTGGAGGACTTTCTAAGGGAAACTGGCTCGTATACACGTTACACATGGGGAACCCCATGAAAATGCCCACGCAGCCAGCCTGTTCACGGGATTTGAACCTCGGAACCGAACTACCAGTGTTCAGCGTCTTTACCGCTCGGCCGCTGGTGGGCTGCTTAAATGTATGAAGAAATGACTGAAGGGAACACGAAACGTTAAATTTAAGAACTGCGTAGAATTTTACTCTGCAGAACAACTTCATAAAAAAAAGTTATTAAGTATAACAAAATTACAAAAACCAAAAAATTCTGAAAAGCAAATTATAATTAACGATGTTTTATCTATATTATTAACCAACTTTCCGTTGAAGAAAAAAAGTCATGCAGAAATTTTCAATATCTTACAAACAGTGAGATAAGCAAAAAATAACATGAAAGCAACTAAAAGAACATAAAATTCCGTGCAGAATTTTACTCTGCCGAACAACTTTATCGAAAAATCAATAAAAATGTACTATATATATAGAGAGAGAAATGACAATGAAATATGCCAATTCTCTTAAACAGTGACATAAGAAATACAGTGAAAAATTGTTGTCAAACCCATATTTCTAAAAGAATGAAACAATTCAAAATGATGCAATTTCATTAAAAATCTATCAACAATAATACTGGAAAATTGTTGCCAAAATTCACATTTTTAATGTGAGATGTGAGAAGTGTACGCGGAAGCTTCATTTAAAAATTTTTTTAAAAATACAAACTATTATCATTTTTCCAGAATTCTTTTTGTAAAAGCAGTCACAAGGATAAAAGTTTAACGTATCCAAAAATCAAAGAAAAATAACCTGTACATTTTTAAAAATAAACCTTTTTAGAAAATATCCCGTTGAAAAGGTCTTAAGCTCACTTTGTTAAATATAGTCGTATTTAATCGATTTATTAAGACACGAAATTTATTTTAAGTTCGTAAAATAGCTAAGTGCCTACGTTTGATGACAATGTGAAAATGGACTGTGTAGAGTAAAATTTCGCTTTTCTATAGCCCGTTATGTCTCAAAATGACGCGATTTCGTCACACAACATAAAATTAAAAAAATTCGAATTCGAATTTCGAAAAAAATCGCTTCGAGGTGCACTGGCTTTTGTCTAGATGCAACTATGTACCAAATTTTGTAGCCGTGGATCTATTAGCTTACGCGCAGCGCAAACGAAAGACACGCAGACACACACACAGACAGACTCTTTCTTGCATTATATGTAGAGATTAACTAGGCTAAAGTTTTAAATTAAAAATGCCGAATCATATTTATATAATTTAAAAGTATATGTTTACTATCGTCTGTTGAGAAAATAAAAAGATAAAGCCTGCATAAGATGGTTTGTCGAGACGGTATTTTAAAGGAATAATTTTATTGTATTGACATGTTAGATGGAGGATAAAACGTAGGCATACACTGAATTATTACATAGAGCTCTTCAAATCTTAGATTCCTTTTCCCAAAAATGCATTTTTTTTCAATGGAAATTAGAATTCCGATGACTGGACTACGTAGATATAATTCATTGTAGTACATTTCAATATGTTTCCTTTCCGTTCACATGAAATCTCCTATTTAACATAACGTGACTAAAAAAAAAAAAAAAAAAAAAAAAAAAAAACCTTTCTGTCATAGGACATATATTTTTTCAAGTATCTGAAATGCAAAACTTCAGATAACCATCTCTTGTAAATTTTATCATATACACTTTTGTTTGCATAAAATCGCCTCGAAACAAATCACAGGGTAGCAAATTTGATCAGAATGAGTTCACGTTCTCTATTAGCCTCTTCTTTCTTTTCCTTTCTCCGCCGGAGGGACAACCGTCCGCATAGGAAAGGTGCTTGTAAGCATGTTTCCGACATGTCCGAGCATGTCCGCATAGGAAAGGTGCTTGTAAGCAAGTCTCGTCGACGACTAAATATTTCTTAGTGTCTTAGACGAAGTTTCCCATAGGTCTGTCTTTGCAAGGTAAAGCATGTAATGGAATTAAAAAAAAAATAAAATAAAATAAAATTGAAAATGAAGTGGAGCTAGTGAATGAACTTGAAGACATAGGAAAACATGCACGAGTTGAGAAGATACGTGAATATAATTCAACGTAAGTGCCAAAAATCTGGAAGGCAACATAACATGCAACCACGGCACTACGGCGGGAACTATATCACGGCTCCGAATTGTTGGAAATCAGAAGTGAAATGTTATCGCATTCCTTAATATGCTTAATTGCATAATAGGTTATTAAATGTGTTTTTAGCCCAAGCGTTGCAGTGTTCATTAGCTGGCTTCTGAAGGTGAAACCTAGCTGTTTCCGGGCAGTCGAAGATGTAGTGATCTGAGTACTTAGCTGCTCCGCAGATGTACAGATCACGAAGTTCAAAGCGTTTAAATAACTGAAATAAGGTACTGAGTAATTGCGTTAACTCGCTATTCTGCTCTTGAGTTTCCTGCTGACCACAAGAAGGACTCCACAAGAAGATTATTTGTATAATCCAGCTAGTCTGCCACTGTACCATAAGTTGACAATTTATTGCGGCTTTCATATGTGAACTTGGGGCTTGCATGAAGATGGTTCTAGTATTTGGGTTCATGGCTGCTTGTTTTGCTATTTTAGAAGCTCTTTCATTACTAAAAACCCAGAGTATGGGCTCGAACCCATTTGAGTTTCTGTCTTTTGTTCTCCGGCAATGAAAGCACTGGTCTCTGAATCTCTTTCACTATTTGGATTTTACATCGTTGACACTGGATGGCTGGAGGCAGTGTCACTCTGTATTACCAAGAGCTATTCTGTTTGGATTCTGAATTGTATAAGCTGCTCTAACAGCAAATAGCTCGGCTTGAATTGTCGAGACTTAGTCTTCGTGAGACCAGGTCTGAAGCATTGTACCCTAGTACTTCATAGAAACCGCAGCCAGTACTTTGCTCTCCTTTGGAGCCATTTGTATACAAAACATGATTTTCCAGTGCTGCCGAAGGTTTCAGTTCGAAACCTCAGTTCGGCCTCTGTCTATGGAATGCCCTAGTAAAGTACAGGGAGAGTAATAAAATGTCATTGTGCTCTCTTCCTCAAGTTAAATGTCCTTTTAAAACTAGCCGTGGCTCTAAGAAAATTTTTAACCTATCAAACTAAGTTCTTGTCATTTTTGATCAGCAGACATTTGTACCCTGCTCCTGTTATGGTGATTCTAGTGATGATTATAAGTCTCAAATAATTCCGTAAGTCTTAAGTTGTAATCCGATGTTTAAAAGTATGTGTTGAATGAAGCCTTCAGTTTTAGTAACGTCAAATAATTAGTAGACAAAACGGTGTAAAATATCTGAATATATTAATCACTCTTCTAAAAAGCTGCTTAGATTTCTCCAAATTATTGTTTAACGACACAAACAATAATATAATAGTAATATACACTCTGTATGTAACACATCTTTAGTTCTTTGAATATCAAAACAATATTTTTTACAAATTTGACTCTCTACTCAAATTTGTAATAGAAACTAGTCTATTATAATACCAATTCTCTCGCCAGAAAATGCTCCTTCAACACAAAATTCATTTTTCGAGATTTCTTGAGAAATAATTTGATATTGATTCTTATTAAATCTGGTTTATTGAATGTCAATCAAAAGTCATTTTTAATCTAAACATAGCTTAAAACCTTCAGTCTTGCATTAGCAAAAATATTTTCTCCTTTAGTCAAACCTTTATTTTGCATGGAAGAAGAAACTAAATATGAATGTTTTAATAAAATGGGTCGAGACTAATGAAACACTCTGTATGTAACACATCTTTATTTCTTTGAAAATCAAAACAATATTTACCATATTCATTTTGTAGCTGGTAAAAGTCTATTTTTCAAGTAAAGTATTTTGTTAAGACACAATTTTTAAATGAAATTAATGTTATTTTGTGAAGCGTTTGAATACTGCTTTTGTAGTTCTTACTGTAAACAGTTTAACATTTTTGATTTTCAATTTATGAAAACAATTTAATCTCGAGTTGTATTTTGTATATTTCTACACCTTAATACACGCAATTTAAAAACAGAGTTTTAGGTTCTTGTTTAAAAATTGAAGGAATAATTCCAACTTATTGTTTGCCAAAGACCAAATTCAGAATTATATAAAACTCATCTTGAAATAGCACTGATTTTATAAAAATGCTTTACAAATTTGTGAGACATGACCCGGATTTCTTTTCCTAAGAAGCAAAATAATCTGAAATTTTTATGTAGTAATAGTATATTTAACTCCTTACGGATAGACGTATGTGCCTGATTTCCTTGAAAAGCAGAAAATATTTCATCAAAAATTTAAATTAACCTAAGATTAAATTATTCCTAAATTAATGCTAAACTTTCTGCCGTAAAATTACATCTATTATTAATAAACTTCTAGAAATTAGTTTTCGAAATTTAATAAGAAGTTTAGAATAAGATTTAATTACAATATTTGTTTCCTTGAACTTGCAGCGATGCTACCTTAAAACAAAGAGGATGTCGATTTGGAAGTTCTGAAATCTATGATGTTGGTAAGACTCAAATGATTCTTGGTTTCTCTGTTTCAATGAATGAATATAATAAAATCTCGTTATATTTAATAATTCCTAAAAAATTATGAAAAATTAAATTTCGAATTTGAGGTACCTGGGCTGTAATTAAGATCTTACCAATCATCTAGTCTTTTTTCCCACTCGAAGGAGGTACCAAAGTTATGAATAAATATGAAAATTATTTAAACTGGTTATTTATTTGGAAAGGTATTATGAATAGACTGGAAACTTTTTTAAACTAATTATGAGCAAACAGCACAAAATAATTGACGATTTGCTGAGCGAAAGTAAGCCATAATTGAAAAGCGAAATCCTTATATACAGCTAGATTAATGCTTAAAATACATATTAGATCTCACATAAAAGTATTCGTATGTTTAAAAAACGAATAATAAAATGAAAATAATTCCTTTAAATCGGAACCAATCATTTTTCTACTTTACGAGTTCAATATGATTGATTGTTGGCTTTCATTTAAATATTATTGTAAAGTTAACCATTTTTAAATATTTATTAAATGACTTTTACGCTTGATTTTAGGTAATCACAAGAATTTATCTGAATGTATACATAGAGTCAAACTTCATATTTTTAAACATCCCCAAGCATTTGTTTCGATCATTCTTTTAGAATTTTTGGATTTAACTCATAAAGACTGCATTTGAATATTCGGTTTAAATCACGTGTTGATATAAATACAAGATTTTCATTTTCTGGTAAACTCCATAACTTACATTATATGTTAATTTTTGTCAATTTGATTACTTTTTTATATTATTCTACACTGCATGTAAATTAGCATCATATTTTATACTTGAAACAGTCTGTACGTCTTTATTCTCAGATATTGTTAGACATGAAGAGAATGCCTGAGTCCCTGATAAGCCATAAAAATTGCGTAAATGTTAGATTACAGCCGAAAACATCGCGGGCGAAAATGTCGCAGAGAAAACAACGTAAGGTGGAAACGCCGTGGTACAAAACATCCTGGCAGAAAAGAAAAAGCAGAGAGAAAATATCGCACATCTAAAGCATCGTGATCCAAAATATCATCGGTTAAAAAAATAAATTGGTTTAGAAGCTTTGCAGTTTAAAAACATCGTCGTCGAAAATATCGTGGCAAATATAAAGTACCTACAAATCATCGCAGGACAATAACGTCGCACATATACGTTTCTTTTTTGAAAGTTATAATTGCATTTTCTCGTAATGATTTGGGAGCCCAGCACGGAAAGAGGGTGAAAATATTAATGCCACTTCAACAATAAAAGGAAACAAAACAATATTTATTTTTCGCTAAAACAATAACAGATTAACAAACGTGAAAGAAAATAATTTGATAATAAACTGAGCAATTTGTATAGAGGTAAGATTATGTAGTTATTTGTCTTAATTTTTCTAAATACTTTGAGACTGTATTTTTCATGAAAAATTATCAGTAAAACTTTATAAAAAAGATTAATTTATTAGTAATTTTGTTAATTAACTATGCAAATTTAAAAATTCTGTTAATGGCTACAAGTTGCATTAATTTTCTACTCATTGTCGATTTTTAAATGCTTAAGTCTTCTCACGTTTTCAGCAAAAATTTATTAGTTCACTCAAAAATATGGCATTAGTATTGGTATTATTTAATTATGGCAAAGCCCACGAGGGCTATCTGCCAACGGAGGGAGGCTTCGTGAAAAAACTGCTCGTATCCACTTACATATGGGGAAAACCACGAAACCCATGCAGCTAGACCGTTCGCGGGATTCGAACCTCGGACCGAATACGTTTTCAGCGTCTTACCGTCGCAGGGTGGGCCTCAAATGTATGAAATATAGAAGTATAACTATTCCTCTTTCCTTTTTGCGCTCCCAAATCATTATGCGAAAATGCAGTTATAACTTTTAAAACCTGAAAAACGCACATGTACTATGTTACCGTCATGAGATGATTTGTAAATACTTTATTTTTTACCACGATATTTTCGAAATGATGTTTTTAAACTGCGAAGTTTTTGAAACTCTTTTTTTCCGACGACGATATTTTGAACCTAGATATTTTAGAACTGCCGTGTTTTCTCTTTGCTTTCTTTCTCCTATGATGTTTTATACTACGATGTTTTCGCCTTGCGTTGTTTTCTCCGCCACGCTTTCGTCCGCGATATTTTTGGCGGACAACAAATGTTATTATAAAACTATTTTGTTATACGTGTACATTAGCAATTTTCACAAAACATTTTACTCGGCTTATAATTGTTTGTGATAAAATGTTTATAATGCAAAAAATGATACAATTAAAAGTATCCTTAATTCTTTCTTATAACGTCTCGATAAAGCAGCTTTTATATTTATTAAATCCGTAAACCATGAAACAGATAACTTCTGAGTTTAAATGCAGTTCAGTAAGGCTAGATAGGACTGGTGATGTGTTATAACTTTTTTTGAGATTAGTGCACGTTTTGGACCTTTATGATTTTAGAAAGTTTTGTAAAATTTTAAGTTTAAATATAGGTATTCCAAAGCAGCACGTTTCATCTGTTGAATACTTAACATATTTAAAATGCTCTGAGTCATTTCAGATAAGTTTCCAGTAGCCTTCATAATGCATTATTATCAGTTTCCATATAAATACTGGCAATTCTGTTTCATTATTGTATAATTAGGCTAACTTAAACATGTGCATGTGTGATTGTTTTATACCCTTTTTCATAAGGACAAAATATAGCTTATGAAAAGAAACTTTTTTATGATATATTTTGTGGGATCAATTCAGATTGAATCAATCATTGGTCTTTCATATTGAGGCGGTGCAACAGACAGTCGGAATACCTTAAAAAATGAGTGTGTATAGAAGACAGATTCTGAGTTTAAAACAAAGCCAAAAACATGAAATTGTCTAACACGTTTAGAACCAATAACTTTCTTTAGAATATCCTTGTTTTGTTGCCAGTCGACGCTGTGGTAGCAAAAGGTAAATTTAAATAAAGTACTCCCCTCCAAAAAAAGTATGTGTTCTATAATGTGTTATTCGCTTTCCTTACATCGACTATTGAAGAAAAGCAATATTTTCATACTTGTAGAGACAGGCTGGATAACTTCAGCAGATGCAGAAGCTTTACTTTGTAGTAATGGCACAACTGCCTTTAACATCCGAATAGCATGCTGATAGAGGCCATGGAGCAAAAACGCAGCTTGTGTTGTGATGCACAAAATTCAAATCTGTTTTAACGCAGTTTCAGTGAGCTTGTGGGACCCAGCTACCTTTTGCAAAAGGTTTCACTTCTTGTCGTTGCTACAACCACATCAGATGAAATCCAGCATACCTAGATGAAGAAAGAATACTGCTTTTATATCTACAAGTCAACTTACAGGCTCATATTAAATTATACTGCTTTTATGACAAAGGTTTTGAATACTGATATTTATTTCTCAACAAAAGTTTCTAAACTAAATATTTGTATAATTTTATCGCTGTTCGAATTAGTGTAGTGATTAGTATTCCTGGCTGCTACGTCGTTCGTTGAGTTCGGATTGGAATCTCGGAGGAGGCATGGATGATTATAAATGTTTAGTGTCTCTGTGGCAAAGGGACCCTCAAAATACACGGTGAGCCGTAAGTTCTCTGGTTTAGTGCATGGAGGTTGTTAGGGGAAGAAGGCTGGGAGACTCTCGGACCGGTCTTACCTGCCACACTGCTGACCTGCCTGACCTCCTGAGTCATCAAAATTGAGACAGAGCTGGACTAAGTTGCACAGTCACCTATATAGTGCTTAAGGCCCATGTCAATGACAGATGCAACCATGCAGTCCTTCCTCCTATAAAGCTCGTGGACTTGCACTAATTAGGTTAAAGACATGAGACAAGCCTTGTAGAGACATAAGCTATTTTTTTAAAAAACAGGAGAGATCAAAAATGAGGAACACCTTCGCCAGGAATCGAAACACGGACCTCTGGAATACGCTCCCAGCGTGCTGACCACTACATTACGAAGGCATGCTAAGAAGGCGGGAGAAATACCTTATAGCCTCAACAATAGTTTTCATATCAAATACTGATTTTAATCAAGTACAGCATTTTTTATTATGCAGCATAAACAGTTAAAATTAGTTTGTTACCATCAACTCAATTTCTTATTTATTTCCGGTTATTCTTATCTTGTCAACATACTCTATCTCGTTTATTTGCATTTAGGCAGCTGAAGAAGCTGGTTCTGTATTTAAACCATCGAAACTAGTCCTGCAAACTTTAAAAATATTGCTCTAATTCTTGTTGTTAAAATTTTCCAATAAACATTACTTAACTATTTATGTTGTAAAATATTATAATTACATTGGAATCATGATAGTATAAAAAATATTCGTTACAAAAATAATTCATTGTAAAGTAAAGCAATTCTTTCTTCTGAACAAAGCTAATATAAGTATTTAGGGTTACTTCTGTAAGATTAGAAACAGCTATTACTTTTTTATATCCCTTGTATTACCTGAAAAATGAATTTTAGGCTGGAATTGTGACAATAAACTGCTTAAATGTTTATTGAGTACGTGACAAAGAATGCTAAGTATATTATTCTGATTTATGCACATCATAAATATTTTTCATAAATAAATACATAGTATTTGACAATATTAGAAATAATATTATGTTTTAATTTATCTAATAATATAATATAATATTATCTTGGAAGTAATATTATACTATGCAAGGTACTATTGAAGTTTATTCTATATAAATATCTTTTTCTGTTTTGTTCTCATAATATTTAAAAATAATGTTTTTTAACTGTGCAGTAGATAAATTTTCTGAAGTCCTAGACAGCATCTGTGTTTCGCAATACAGTACGAATCTGGTGGAGAGGGCTGTACTTTTTCTGAAGATGAAGGAAGGTTATTCATTCAGTAAGGAACTAGAAAACAGGATTCGAGAAGTGATTGGAAAAGAACTGACACCTCGACACATTCCAGAAGTCATCCTTGAAGTGGCAGATATACCGGTTAATATTTAATAATTACACTTAGACATATGTTTAAATTACATTATTGCAATGGTTTTCTCTTAATGTAGATAAACTGTTATTTTGTTTCAATTTTTAAAAATAAAAGAACGTTCTAGAATTTTTTACAGATAAAACAGTATAATAGTTTGCGATAAAAGTGCACTTTATAAAGTTATAATTTTTTTCAGATAACAAAATCATAAATAAATATATAAAACATATTTTGCAGAAATTGCTGAAAGTGGCGTACATTTTAAAAAACAATTTTAGAAAGAGAAGGAATATAGATGAGATTTGCTTAAGCTAATAATAAAATGCATTATAAAACATTTTGCAGAAATAACATACTTTTCTGTTGCGCTTATTAGAAAAATTAACTTAACAACTATGAACATAAATTATAAAAGTAAATCATTAGAAATGCAGCATTATTATTGATTTGAGATTTAGATCATTAATTTAACTTTACGCACAAAACTTCTTCCTAAATATCGAAATAGTTTCTTAACCCAAAAGTGTTGGTAGCATAAGATGCATCAAAAATTTCTAATCCTTTCCAGCTGATCAGATGCAGAAAGCTTTGTTTACCAATCATTACTTCATACTTAATGCTAAACTAATAAATTAAAATGAAACGTTCCTATGCTAATCTAGTGTCATGCTTTACCGATATTTAGTTTTAAGAAATTCAAGTTACTTTAATTATTAATTAAGTATTATGGCAAAGGGAGAGCTAATTTTAGGAAAGCAACGTCAACAGAACTACTGTATAAAAGAATTATGTTTCAAAGATTTATATCAATCGAAATATTCATGCAATGAATATTTTACGCTACTTATACGGTCTTCTACAGTTACAACAGGAACAGAGTCAGTTTCTCATAGAAAGTCCTCCGTAAGACATCCTTCTTTTAGCTACATAACCATTAACACTTTTCCCATTTTTAGCTAAATTAAGCTTTGTGGCTGAGGCCAAAGTTGCAATGGATTTTTAATTAATGCTAAAAGGCCGATAAAAACTCGAAAGAACGAGAAAGTTTTGCCAGATTTCGAATCCGATAATTGATTACTCCGGGTGGAGCAGCATTTTTGATGCACTCTTTTCCCTTTCTTTCTATACATAACCAGGAGGAAATGCAAATCAGTTTCCTTCAATCCACCTTCCACAAAATTAAAGATTACACATTCATGCAGGTGAAGAAATTATTTGTCTAATTCTCTTTACGTGAGGTTTTTTTAAACATATTTCACTCTTTGGTTTTGCTTATTATGGCCATTTTTCTCCAGATACACCAAGGTCCAAGAGATCTTGCCGCACAAGTGAATCGCTGACATCATTCTGCTCAGACGACAGTTGTCTCGGAGAGAATTCTACTTTTGTTTAATTCCTTACGAAGAAACATCATAAGGGAGGAAATCTAAATTTGTTATCAGCCACTATTATTAGAATAAAAACATCAGACAAAATCAAATTGATCTTATAGTAGGTTCAGTCAGTGCATTTCATTGGACTATGTTAACTAATAACACTAGTAAATATACTCGTTCGTTTCGGGCTCGTGGCTTATGCATGTTTCTTCTGCATGAGATTTTCGTGGTATCCGATGTTTAACGCTTACGAGCAATTTTCTTTAATGAAGTTTTCACTCTTGAGGCAGATAATCTTCGGGTCCTTTGTAATAGTCAGTTAACCAACAAGTAGAAAGATATTAAATTAAATTTTATTGATTTATAGCTTTATATTTCAAAAGACTCTTTTTGTGCAAATCTGATAGCGCTTAATGCATAGCAAATTATACAGTAAACATGCTGTAAAAACGCTTGATTATTTTCACTTGATTTTAGTAAATCATATATTTTAACTAGATGTACATCAGAGGTTCCAAGTTCTTATTTGCGTAATTTATCATATGAATATGATTTACGTTTTATGTCTTAAATGTTAATTAACTTATTAAATTATTTAAAATCTTTCTTCTCTTCCTTAGTTATTAAATTATTTAAAATCTTTCTTCTCTTCCTTAGTACAATATAAATGGAAAGAAAGTGGAAATTATTGTGAAGAAAATTATCAACAATATGCCTTATAATCCGGAAAGTGTCATGAATGAAGAATGTTTGAAGATTTTTCAAAATATGTCAGAACTTCAAGGATTTGTAGAGTAATGCTTATTAAATGAAATTATTTTAATAAAAAGATATTTAAAAACATAGAAATGACTTTTTTATTTTTGTCATGCGCACCTTCTGAGTGCACCAAAAGTAACACGTGTAAAAAGGTTTATATAAACCACCAGCTTCAGTTGAGAAGTAACCTTAGTTTATTAATTACATTCATTTTGGAAAATAATTGCATTTTTTCAGTAACTTTTAATTTCTGAGTTTCTGTTCTGCTTTGCAGCAACTGACTTTCCTTAAACTGATTATGCGGTAAGTATAAACCATTTACTCACAGTATGTAACACACAGTAAGTAAATTTCACAGTATGTAATAATTCTGTTATCTGCTATAATAATTCAAGTCTTTATTTTAACTTGCATTTCTTCTACAGATAGCATTTGTTATCTAAGGAAAGAAGTTTCAGACAACCAATTGCGCAAATGGATTACCTGCAAATGGATTACCAATTACAATTAGTTTCAACTTCAGCTAACGGTAGACACACTAAATGGTCATTTAATAGGTATTGTATCTACACATGTTCTGCAGTCATTTTTGTGTTATCTATGTATTTTCGAGAAATAACATCTACTGTGCCTCCTGCGTCTCGAAGAATAGGCATTTCATACTCATTTCCAAAACCGCTAATAGTATACGTCTTTAACAAATCATCATTCGAAAATAAGCAATTTACCCTTTCATTTGGTTTTAAGCGAGGGCACTGAGGCTTAAAATGCTCGTATGACCCACACTCGAAACAACGTGGTCGATATCTTTTGTCATATAAATTTTCTTGGTTCTTGTTTTGAAACTGACTTCTTTGTCAGTGATTTTTCTGGTATTTTGAATCATCCCATTTATCAGAATGCTTAAAATGAAGCGGATGTTCCTATTTGTTTTCCACAAAATTTTCATAACGAGATTTAAATGATTCCTTTGTTAAGTTCTCTCAGGTTGATTGGCAGAAAATTTCGGTTTTATTTTTTTTTCTCACATCCTTCAAAATTTTCAAGCTTTCTTAACCATCTCGGTAGGTGTAATGATGGTAGTCCATTCATCCATAAAATGCCCTTTGAAATCAGGCAGAAGTACGCTTTTTAATTTGAACAACCTACCATGAGAATCTTTTAGCTGTTCAAAAGTTTTAATGTTTAATCCGTTAAGCCATCCTTCTAAATAATTCTTTAGTTCATAGTAGAAATCATAGCAAGTACTTTCAGTAGATTTTTGGTGTTTATTAAATAGTTGTCAAAATGTTTCTGCACTCAATTTAAACTGTTGTAACAGTAAAGGTTTTACATATTCATATCTCTTCTGGTTCTTCCGCAACGATGTCTGGAGGCAGCAATGAAATAAGTTGAGTCACTTGATTTTCAGCAGGTATATTCATAATTTTAGCTTGACGCTCAAATAACACCAGAAATAAACTTATTTCATCTTCTTTAGGGTTGAAACGTGGCATGACATCGTGAATTCTGATTTAAGCTACTCAGGTAACTGCATCGTTTCTACCGGCTGTGCACTTGCAGTCATTGCTTCCATTTTAAGTTTCTGTAGCTCAAAAGCTCTAATTTCGCTCTTATCTTTCGTGTTCCCTTTCCCTTTCTCTTTTGCGTTCGCGTTCTCTTCCGCGTTCTTTTTTTCTTTCTTCTCTTTCGCGTTCTTTTACCCTTTCTTCTTTTTCGCGTTCTTTTTCTCTTTCTTCTCTTTCGCGTTCTTCTTTTCCTTCTCTTTCGCGTTCTTCCTTTCTTTCGCTTTCTTCTCTAATTGCAGCCAGTATTTCTCGAGTAAACTCCTCATCATAACAGGGACTTTAATCCATTTATGCAACTGAGCAATCTTAAATTCGGGTCTCACTGTTAAACCTAACTCTTCTGCCAGTACTTTTAAGTCCTGTTTTTTACTCCTAGCTGAGAATGACATGTTGAGCAAGTTACCTTTAATAAACTTTCCTTAAATTTGAATCTTACAAATCGTACTTGTATTAAAAATATATAATTTCTGGCGAGACTTAACTGTCGGATATGAAATTCACACTAACCAATTAGAGAAAATTATTTAAACAACTTTGCCAGTTTGGCACAAAATAAAATACTAATACGCCGCGTTGACGTTTTAACTCACTATTCACAAGCCTCGTTGGCGATAACTATATAAACACTTTTGTCAGTTAGGCAATACAATGGAATTTTACGCACGTCAGTTTAACGATTTTATTATCCATCTCCACGCCTGGTGATAACCAAAAAAAAAAAAAAAAAAAAAAAAAATTGGCCAGTTTGGTAATACAATTTTTACAATATACAATCTGTAATACGTCGGGATGACGTTACTATCTACCACACTCCGGGATGGCGAGAACAAAGAAAGACTTTTGCCAGTTCTGCAGTATAATCAGATCACACTGGGCCAGTTTTTTTACCACAAATATCAATTACAATTTACGCCAAAAAATTTTAGTATCAGTTATTTTACACAAAAACTTATACTGTATAAATATAATTCAGAGAAAAGAAATACTTAAATACAATAAACAGTTTTTTATGAAACCAAAATTTAACCTTATCTTCGGAGATCAGCAATATCCTGTTATGACAATTCTTTGCTCGGACGCAAGTTATAGAAACACAGAAGATAACCTTTGAATGATCCGCTTCAAAATCTGGCTTTAATACGGCAGACTTCTGACATCCATTTCACCTTGAAATAAACAAACTCGGCAATTGGTACTAGCAAACTTGTTCTCAAAAGCAACTTTGTTTCAGCAACTTTCTGGGATTAGGAGACCAGGTACATCGAAATTGATAACACTCCTAATTTCCAGCATCTCGGTGGAACCTCCAGTTTTATAAGACTGTAATGTATTTTGCAGTAATTGATAAAATAACAGATAATCTTTTAAGTAAACATAAATTTTTAGTTTACGGAGATAGATAATTTGAATACAGTCTTTTAGTTAGAAATTTTTCATTCATCTACTAGCTGATAAAACTTCAGAATTCTAATTTTTAACAATTTCTTACGTTACTGAATAACGGTTACATCATACAAATATGGCGTTGTCACTTCAGTAATAAATATAGCTATTCGTTAAATAACAAAATATTATAATATCCATTAATGCTTTTCATTTGTTTTGTACTTAATTGTCATCATTTGTTTGTATTTATTGTTTCATTCTTATTGCAACTGCGTCCTTCGAGAATTCAGTTGTTCGCATAATTTTTCTTTCTCGATTTTCGTAAGCTAAAAGTAGTAAAAAGGAAAGAAACGTATGCCAGTAAATCCGATATATATGTTTATATAAACCCAGCTGATTGTATTTACTACTCAAACTGCACCTATTTGCAGTTCTCAATTTTGCACTTTCATTCAGTTTGGTAAATATAACTGCTACAAAATACATAATATTTTAATAGTATTAAAGAGATTAAAAAGTCGTAAGAAAAGTCTAATTCTCTGGAGAAACCGAGAAGCATTGCCAGTGAATGTGCCAGCATTGCAGTATATGTTATCGGCAATGAAAAATATGAAACTTCATGGTATATCTAGTGTTTCTACAGAATATCTAGCCTTTTTAGGCAAACCATGAAATATGAGAGTTTTTATGTACTTTACCTAGGCATTATATATATTTTTTATGTAGAAAGCCAAATACAATTTAGGCAAAGTACGAAAAAAATAATGATATGGTTATATAAAGTTATCATTCAAAAAAGATGTGCATGTTTTCAAAATGCGAATGTAATTAAAAGAAATAATGAAATTATGCCTTTAAAAAACTTTCATCCAAAATATGCAAAGAAAAATGCAAGTTGTACAAAAGAAAATGTAGACCTTTCTAACAAAATGTATAAACAAAATAATGCATGAAAAATATGAAAAGATGAAAATTATGAAATGGATATTCGAAACGAATTGGTTAGGTTAGGTTATTTAATTACGGCAAAGCCTCGAGGGCTATCTATCTAAGGGGAGGGATGTCTTCGTGGAGGACTTTCTAAGGAAAACTGGCTAGTATACACGTTACACATGGGAAAAACCACGAAAACGCCTATGCAACCACCCCGTTCGCAGGATTCGAACTTCGGACCGAACTACCAGTGTTCAGCGAGTTTACCGCTCGGCCTCTGGTGGGCTTCGAAACGAATCGAATATATATACTTTGCCGGATTGTTATTTTTGCCGGATTGTTATTGCCGGAGTTTTGTCGACTAGGAAATGTGAAATGTTAATCGTTTCATACATCGCCAACCAGTTACCGACATTCTATAAAATACCTAGGTATTCTATTTAAAATACCTTGGATTAACAAGGACTGCATATTCAACGCTAAGAAGAAATATTGCTGTTCAAATATCTGTTTCGTTTGAACTTTTTCTTAAACCATTATTGGAGCACTAATCAGCGTATTTACGCGGAAACATTTTGTAGAGTTCCTCACATTAATTCTCAAACTAAAGGGGATACATTTTTATCTTAAAGAGAGTACTGAGTTACGATGCGCTACGCGTAGCGTGCACTGCATTTGATGTTGTCTCCAGTTCTGCAACGAAATTAGGTAAAGTAAAACATATCGCGAATAGCTCCATTGTGGAAGTAAATATTTAGAAGAATCTTAAAAGTATTATACAGGTGACAGGTGACGGAGGACGGGGATGCCTGATGTTTAACAGAGGTAAACAGGCACATGTCCCGCGCCCTCCCCTATCTAGTGCCAGCAACTCCCAGGAGCCTCATGAGGCCACCTCGGGAGTTTATTGAAGAATTTTACGTAACTGTACATGGCCATACAGATGCGTCTTAAGAATACATTAGTTTTGATCGATAGGCGAATGACTTGTTACATCTTGATTTGTTAAACACTAATTACAGCATATACATACACATACACTTACACTTGCACATATAAAGATACATACAAAGCACTTGTAAAACACATATAAAAAATACATATAAAACATGTAAGCACATTATAGAATAATAGAAATTAGATACTAGTTTGCAGACACTTATACATGTAAAACACATACTTATAATGAAACATAAT